ATAATCTTCACTAAGGACATGAGGATATTGTTGCACTTTTTTTTTTTTTAGCAGCTTTAAATTCATACTTTTTCTGGATTTATTTCTCGTATCTACTATACAGTAGAAGTCAAGACTTTTTTCAGATAGATATCCCATGGATCTGGTGCTATTCATTAAAGTAACAACCCTTTCCCAAGTGACACGTCATAAATTGACCATATAGGTGTGACGTTATTTCTGGACCCAATAGATGGAACATCTATCTCTTCGGTTTCATTGGTCTATTTGTTGATGCTTGCCCCAATAACACCGTATCTTAAGTACTACAGATTTATGATAAACTTTGATATCCAAGACTATAAGTCTTTCAACTTTGTTCTTGTTCTTCTTTGAGATGATCTTTGCTATTCGTGGGGCTTTTCATTTTCATACAAATTTTAGAATTAAATTGTTAATTTCTAAAAAAATTATTCTTAAGATTTTTTTCTGGGGACTGTATTAAATCTAAAAGGTAAGTTTGGGGAGAATTCAAATTGCACAACACTGGGTCTTTTATTCCATGAATATTTTATATTCCTTTATTTGTCTTTAATTTTCTCGAAATGTTATTTGTTTTATATTCACTTTATGCATATTTTGTTATATTTATTCCTAGGTATTTCTTATTTCTATATAGTATAAATGGTTTTATTTTTTAAATTATTATTTCTAATTGTTTATTGCTGCTTTATAGAAATGCAAATAATTTTCTAAAGTGACCTTACTAAATTCACCTCCTTATTTTAGTGTTTTATCTATAGATTCTTTTGGGTTTCCTCAAACACAATCATGCCTCTAAAAAAAAATAGTTTAAGTGTTTCTTTTTCCATCACCATATACTGTTTTATTTTCTTTTTAATTCAAATTCATACTTTCTGGTACCTTTCCATGAGTCTGTAGTACTCTGCCTAGATAGAAAAAATCAGTAGGCATACCTACTATGAAGTTTCCATGGAAATATTGGAGCATGTAAATCATTCCTTTGGACTCAGGGATTAATAACTTCCAAATCATTTTTGTTATATTCTTTTGGGGAAATGTTGTTAGAATATATCTACTGCTGAAGCTACATTTTTAAATGTGTTACATATTTTCTGGTAACTTGCATTGAGAATTGATTACTGTGAAAAATAAACTAGAAAACTGTTCTGGAGCCCAGAGCTTAATGGACAAATGTTGGGGGTTACAGTTCCCTAATTTGTTGTACTCTTTTCTGAAATCTGAAAAGTTAATGAATTTGACTTCTAATTATATTTCCAGCACTGACTTTTTCATTCATGTTATCTAATTATTGTTTTCCTCAATCATTTGTTAAATAAAATTTCAGTCATATGTTGTCATCAGAGGGAATACGATTTCAAATTAGAATTTGAGTTTCTAAATGGAAGCATTTATTAAATATGAAACCAAACATTTCCTTTGGGTAAAAATGCAGATATGCTAAAGATATTTTAATAAAATCAAAACCATAGATTTGAAATATGGCATTGAAAGGTATTTGGTGCGTTGATAAAGTTCCCTGGAGGACTCTGGATGTTTAAAGCAACAGTTTGATTGAACAGAACAATAAATGCAGGGGTATTTTTTCTCTTTCTTTCTCATCTACTAGAAAAATATAGATAATAGAGCTCATTTATTTCCTTAACATTTCAGAGCTCTGCAGATGGGAAAACACAACCCAGTGGAAATTATTTCTGGCAACCTCGAGAAGATATGTTAGCATTTTGTGGCATTTCTTTCAGTGACATGTAAAGCATGGCTTTCCCTCATTGCAGTGTCACAGTGAAGTGTCACAATAAAGCCAAAATAGTGTGCCTCGGGGAAAACTAGGGAAAGGGACCATTTTCCATGCGCACACAAAGGGTAATATTTATTATAAAGCCTTTTCATTTTAGCTCCAAATGCTGTCGGGGGCCATGGCTACTTTGCAATGGAGAAGCGCACAGAGTGTGAGATTTAAAGCAAATGTTATGTATAAACCTAATGTAATTTATGTAAATATAAATTAGACGTAAAGAGAGGAAAGTGCCTTTATGGACATGCAAGCATGCATACATCCGCACAGTGTGTCGGAGAGAGATGCTGCAGAGTGGCAACATCAGCCTGATGTTGATGGAATCCAAAGAGCACTGATCTGGGAGTCAGACCAGCTCTATCTTGACCTACTTTTGTTCTTACCAGCCCAGATGTTACCTTCTACCTGCCACATGTGATATGAAAATTGTTACCCTTGTTCTATGGATAAGGGATTTGGTTTTCCAAAAGACTCAATTCTATGTTACAGATTACACCAGGGGTCCTCAAACTTTTTAAACAGGGGGCCAGTTCACTGTCCCTCAGACTCAGTTGGAGGGCCGGACTATAGTTTAAAAAAAACCTATGAACAAATTCCTATGCACACTGCACATATCTTATTTTGAAGTAAAAAAACAAAACGGGAACAAATACAATATTTGTATTTGCATGTGGCCCGCGGCCCGTAGTTTGAGGACCTCTGGATTACACAGCTAATATGACTTAAGGAATGTCATTTGATACACACAGTGTATCAAATACAATAACTTTATTTTCAGTTAAATGTGTACCTTTGATAAAACCTTGTATTTCTTCTTCGTCCTTGACACAGTTATTATTTGGATCCAAATACTCATCTTGAGTTTTATTGCCATTAAATGCCACCTGGTTAGATTCATTCTACTGCTCCATCTCTGGACAGTTTGGGGGTCTTGATTACATTCCTCAGCATGCTTTTCATTGCCGCAAGTCAGTAGCACCCCCAGAGCTAATGGACATGGTCGATACCTGCACCCGAAGCATGGGCCAACACCCGGTGACAGGCAGCTTCCTTCCAGTTAGAGAGGTGGCTGGTTTATCCAGGCACCACTTCACCCAACTGCCACATGCATATGGAAATCACCCAAGTTCATTGTTCTGATTTGGCGACACGCAGGAGGGAGCCTGAGCCTTGGGGCCCGCAGACTGGGATTTAGCACCACCAATGACCGATCTGTGATTTGGGGAATGTAATTAGTCTTTATAAGTACACGTAGGTAACAGTGTTAACCAGACAAAGTTGTAAGGGTGTTGCAGGTAGTAGATGTGTAGTCCCATTCATCACCATCAAAGAAAAACAGGACATTTTTCTGGCTGACCAGTTCTTTTTAACCACCCCGACCACCCACGTCGCCTTGATCAGTGTTTCCAGGACTGACACAACTTCATCTTCGTGAACTTTCTCAGTCTCTTTCCATTGTTATGCTTAAGTTGGTTTTAAGAATCCACTCTTTTTTTCCTGCTTTAATATATGAGTGACATTTTTTAGAACTCTTTTATTTTCTATAAACCTTAGTTTGAGATAATGGTTTAGTGGTCTTGTATTTCTTCTGAGCATCTTTGATGGAAATTCACTTGATGTAGGAGACTTTCGTTTAGGGAACTTCTTGAACTTTTTTTTATATAACTAGGAAATTTATTCCTTTTGATATGTTTTTTTCTGTCCCTCCTTCTTCAAAGGTCAATCTCCTTGAAAAGAAGGCAAGGGGAAGGGTGTTCTGTGTCTCTGGGCTTGGTCTCATGCTATCATAACCACATTTGTAGGCTGTTTTCTTTGACAAATTGGTAGGTTAAGGCCATGGAAGTTTCTGTTTGCTGCAGTCTTCTTATAAAGGCATATGTTTGCTCTCTGGTTATATTCTCTTTTGCTCTATCTTCTGTGCATGGTCAGTTTAAATTTGAGCTCCGAAGAGAAATTTTACACAAGCACATTAGCTTATTTAGGCACTACACCCTTTTCTTCCTCAGAATAATTTTAAATTCTTCTATTTTAATCTATTTTTGAGAGATTTCTAACCCTCTTGAATGATCTTTCCTTCCAGAATCTTTTTTCCCCTCTAGAAGAAATAGTATTTTTTCTTCTGACATTTTTTAATCTACTCTTTGAAATCCAAGGATGCATGTATAACAATAATCAAGTAATTCTCATGAATGGGCCACCATCTTTGCATTAATGTTTCTAAAGAGAACAACTTAAGGCCTTTATCTATTTAGTAATATTACTGAGCATTTCATCAGTTTCTTAGTGATGGAGTAAGGAATAACATACTACTTTGAGACTCACTGTTGCCTAAACCCTCTGGTCTTCCTGTATCTTGCTAAGAGAATGCTTGTCTTAACTCCAATACGTAGAGTGATCTACATTAAATCCGAGTGAGCTGTATGCAGGAAATCTATTTGAAAGGGCCATCCTCAGGAGCATTTTCAAATAAAATGATATGAGAACAGGAGTAAGAATAAATTGTTGCCCATTCTTGTGAAATCCAATCTATTTCTCCTCCTTTTCTGTGTTTGTTCTGTGTGCTAAAAGGATGAGAGTAAAAAAATAGAATGCCACATAGCATTTTTGGGTGTGTGTGTGTGTGTGTGTGTGGGGGGGGGGTGCTTCTGGAGATGGGCTGATTAAGTGTTCATAACGTCCGCTCCTTTCATTCTCCTTTCTTTCAAGTCAAAGCTCAGGATATGGCATCTCAAGTTTGATGTGCAACTGTGGCAGAGATAAGCAGATAAACAACTATTGAAAAACCTTGCTATTTATCCATCCTGGGCATGTGTGGTTTTTTTTTGTATCCGGTGGTAATTTTTCACATTAGCTGTTTCTTAGGATTAGCAAGCCAGTGCAAATCTTGTTTCATCCTTCCCTGGGTATTTATTGTAGCGCCAAGCGAAGCACAGATTCACATATGCTTCCTCGGGATTAAGGATGATCTTTGGATAGGCAGTAACATAGAATCCACAATCGATTCAGTGGATGGGCTGTTTTCTTTCATGCCAACAACAAACCCTAAACTTTAGGGTTTGCCAAAAACAAGCCCTAGGCTTTTAGTCCCAAGTTCCCACAGACTTGGAGTCATACTCATGAACGTCAAATAGCAGTCAAGTATTTCACCATGTTCTTCATTTGCCTCAATCCCTACAGTGCGGCATATGATTGCTCCATGGCAAAGAAGAGGAGAGCTGAAGAGCAGGCCTCGGGGGTCCCTGTCAACAAGAGAAAGTCCCTGCTGATGAAGCCCAGACACTACAGCCCAAGCATGAACGGCCAGGAGGGGCTCGATACCAGGACGGAGGCGGAGGAGGACAACGGCCTGCTGGGGACCAACGCTCACCGGACCACAGGTAGCAAGGAGGGGCCCAACTCTCCATTTGCCCTCAGGCACCGAAGACTCAGTCTTAGCTTCTGCAGAACACATACAGCTTGTGTGTTTGAATTTGGAAGCAAAATTAAGTATTTTTTTTCACGTCGAATCCATTTAGTGAGGGCTGATTTTTGTCTGTAACTGTGGGATGTCTCAAGCTAAGCACCGGGGAGGCCTTGCCCTGCGTTCATTTTCAAAATGCAGGATTGGACTGTGCCTCTTTTTGAAGAATATAAAAGATACTAAACCTGAAAGCTGACGAATACCTTGACTCCCAAATAGGGTAGATGTCTAATGCCTGAAAGAACCTTTCAAAATAAAAGGGCAGATTTAATCTTGAGAATATTTAAGATATGATATACATGAATAAAACAAAATATTTTTGTTTTGTAAATATATATAATATTAGTTAGCCCTCAAAATATAATTGGTGATAACAACATGGACCAATGCAGGTGGAATGCAATCTTAATATTTTCAACATTTAAAAAATAAATATTTATAGCAACGGACTGCAGAAGGACGTAAAGTTGGCTGTCTAGCATCTCTATCTAGAAAACTGATATAGAAAATTTATTACTGTGCCCACTATTTCCAAAATACAATCATTTTAATTTACCTATAAGCACACATTATGTTTCATGAATTTAATTCTTCACTCATTAAATGCTGTTTGCATTACAAGTTATATGTTGTTACAATTTCAGAATTTTAGGGTGTTTCTCCCCAGTTCACAGTTACTCCCATTGGTCCCTGGTAGTCACAGTGCCTCCAGGAGTCAGAATATCACCAACCACATTGTGCATGAGGCTGAAATTAAAGAACATGCAAAATATCTCAAAAAATTGTATTTAAAAAAAGAAATCTAAAGCTTGACTTATTAGAAAATGAAATTAGGTATTCTAAATTAAATAAACATGTTTTTTCAAATGTGACTTTATAGGAATCAAAATATACCAAATGAATTATAATTTGAAAAAAAAGTATATATTCTACAAACCAAAGGCAACAAGAGTGTTAGATCATAAATATATAGAAATATAGTAACAGCAATAGGTGTCAACAGAACAGATGTAAAAGCATATGAAAGACGAGTGAGCACAAATCTCAGATCACAGTCCACAGATCTCCAGTAATCTTGGCTTACAAGTAGCTTGAGGTTCTGTAGTTAAAAAAAAAGTTATATTCTGATTTGATGATGTTTAAGTAAATTTTCTGACTTTCCTGTATTTAACATATGGCTTAAAGCCTCATGGCTCATTAGTAAATTATAATCATCTTTGACTTTTTTTTGTTTCCTTGAGTTGGTTAGATTTTTGTTGATTCATGAAAATTGCAGATAGAATCTAGAAAGTCCTTGAATCAGTGTGGTTGGACTTGGACTGTATCTGCCCACTGATGGTATCATGATGTGTAACCATTGTAGATGCCTAGTATTAACCAAGAAAATATATTGTCAAAATGTACTCAGTTAAAATTTCAGTTGTAAGTGTTGATGGACATCTATTTGCAGGTTCATAAATGTTACCTATTTTTTATATTAATACTGGAATCACTACTAATAACAATGAATATGCCAAAATTCCAGAAGTAGTGGCCATTATTGTTGAATTTTTAATATATTCTTGGCAAATAAGTTATATCATTTAATCTACCTGAAATGACATGTGTATGATTATGGACAGAATTTTACAGACATGATGATTAAGGACCACGGAGATTTAATGCTTAAGGTAATGCAGCTTGTAAATGTTGGGAAGGACATAATTAGGAAACAATTGAAGAATAAGCAAAATAACCAGCTAGCCATGCTTCAGCAGCTAATTCTCCCCAAGCTCTGACCACCTTCAGAAAGCAGACTGCGCAAAGTTTCTGCAACATTAGGTCAACATTTCCAGAAACGACAGGTCACAGATGCTCCTATCTCTGGTCAAAAGAGCAAAACTCTTTTAAGTTTTCTTCAGTCCTTTGAGCAAGTGATCCCCCACCCTCAGAAGGAAAGAGAGCTAGGTTGGTCCCCAGGCCCAGCGTAAGGGCTTCTCATCTCTCTCTCATTTACTGCTGGTACTCCGAGGTTTTTACCTGGCCAGGGGTGCACCTGGTTGCATCTTCAGTGGGCATTTCAGGTGCTGAAGGGAGAGGGTCTAGTGCTCCTGGAAGTTCACATCATGAGCTTGTATCCATTTAATGGCAAAACTGCACCCTGGACCCTCCGTGTGGTAAACAAGCTCCACCTCACTTATGTGGAGGGCCCCATAGCCTCTGCCTTCCCTATCATCTAACACAGTATCTAGGGGAGGGGGAAGAGAGCCACCTTCCTGAATACCTTCGGGGTGTCACCTGCTCTCCCGCGCTCCCCCGGGATGTCTGCAGGTGCCTCCCCGTGTGAGGGAGGACGCCAGGATCAGAGAGGTTAAGGACCTGTAAGCGCTGGAACAGAGATGCATGCCAGGCCCAGAATCAAGCCTAGGTTCCTCTGATATGAAAGGCAGCCATCTTCTAGTGATTTCAGTGGCAAAATCACAGACTAAGTCACGAGGCCACCCTGGGACATAGAAACACACTCGCATAGAGAAGTAGGCAGCCTGTCACCGAGCTGGGAGAAACAAGTGTCTCGTCGCAGACCTGTCGGGTTCAAAGGCTCCCTCAACTTCTTTCCCCCCTGTAATTACAGTGAAAGCCAGGGAGAGAGGGATTCACGGAAGGAAAGTCGGGTGGCAGCTTTTCAGGCCATCCCTGGAAACCTTCGTGTGCAACGCGCACGGGCATGGCTGTCGGCAGGACTCCTCTCTTTCTGAGGAATAATTAATAAATATTTTCTTTTAGCATATAACAAACAGTTGAACCAAGCAATTATGTAAACTGGAAATGACCCAAAATGCTAGCAGTTGGCAGCGGCACAGCGAAGTGCATTGTCGTGCACATGTGCATTTTTTGTCACTCCCGCCTCTCTGGTGATCTGCACTTAATAGGAATATTTTAAACTATGTAGCTAAGCAACAGAGGTAATTGTTGCTTTCTAGAGCTTTTGTTAGCACTCTACCACAGCCCAAATATGCATAATTAGGTATAATGTCTATAAATCATTATTGTACACATGTGGGTAGTTAAGTGGAGTGAGAGAATAGTTCAATGAATTGAGCATATTCACTGAAAATGCTTTTTATTTGTTTTCTGTAGTTCATAATACTTTAAAATTATCATAACCCTTTACACTTTCTCTTAATCACCAACCGTGATATTGAGAAAAACTTCATTTGCATTTTAGACTATGTTTAATATATTATTTAAACCTGGAGTTCCTCTGATATGAATTCAGGAGAGGATAGGCCATCCTATCAAACATTATGTGCTTGTTTATCCAGTCTCTTTTCTAGGAAGTAAAATGTTAAATTTTTCAGTTTATGTTGAATAGATCCCAACAAAAGACTGCACCCTATAATCAGCATTATTTAAAGGGGCTAGTGTTGTGACTAAATTCTTCCCTTCATCCAAAAATGCTTTTAGTTACTATGGCAATATTTACTTGATCCTGGCAGTCCAGTGTTGATTTAGGGAGATAATTACCAGAAAGGAAGATGATGGAGATGTATTTTTGAGTGTCCTTGTCAGAGACAATGTTTATAAAAAAAAATTAAATGAGACAAAAAAAGGCTCATTGTCTTCTGCTCAGACACCCTCGCCCACAGCCCTCACATGGGATGGCTGTGCTTTTCTTCCGTCCAAAGGTGCTTATTAACACAGAATGCACTTCACTTGGTGTCTTTAGCAGTCCTTCAGGTAGCTGATTATTTTGTGTTGCCCGTCCCCCACTCCCCTCCTGCTCCTCCTCCTTCTCTTCTTCCTCCTCTTCCTCTTTTTTGGTCATAGTATTCACTAAAGGAAGCATTGCTGGGTTGTCTGGTGCATTTCACAGCCTGGTACGTGCTGGGTGCTGTGCTCGCTGGAGGACACCTCGACCTGGGCAAGGGTTAGGTCATCAGATAATCTGGACCCTTCACTGGTGTGTTTGCACTGGGATGCACACACACACACACACACACACACACACACACACACACACACACCATCTTATCACCCCCACTGGGCCATTGCTGAGAAGGAAAGGGGGTGATGTGAACACTGCCCTGGGACAGGAGGGATGGGTGGACTGTCCCAGGCAGACCAGCACTGGGGCCTGTTCTCACTCATGGGCTCCTTGACTGTCAGGACTCCAGCTGGTCCTGCACCGAGAACAACAGTTGACATTCAACATCCTCCAAACATCCCCATCTCCCGTCTCATTTCCTTTTCACACAAATGCACGAAGCACCAGACCAGAAAATGTGTTACTGGGTAAGGCGTTATTTGATCATGCTGATTTTCCCATTTGCTTGTCTTTCCTTCCACATGGAACTTTTGGGTGACAATTCTGAAAGTGGTCAGGAAATCTAGAAAGCTTTCAGAACTTGTTTAGTTATCGTCAAGTAGATGAATTTCGTATTTTAACGAAATCCCATAAAATCTGAAAGTATGTCTGAAAAAAACTATGAAGACAGAAAACTGAAACCAAATAAGCTTTGAAGATATACTGCCATGCTAACGGAGAAATCTGATGACTATTTCCTTTATAATGCATGGCATTATATATATTTGATTTCTAGGTGGCTAAGATTTGCAAATGTAAGAGGTAAGTAACAATAATTTCGCATTCAGCATTCTGTTACTGCTTCAGTACCCTAGAAGTACTTAGTTCTTAATATACTGAAAATTCTAATAGCTCATTTCTTTAAAGGTAATTCTCAGAATATGAAGGTGTAAGTTTTGTTTTAAGAAGATATATATTTTCTCCCTAATGCTTTTAAAATTAATAGAGCCTACATATTCACATATTTTACATATTATATATACATATGTATGTATATATTGTGTGTGTTTTCTTAAATTATTTTGAAAATATTTTTTAAATAATTTTTAATTATTAAATAAATTTAAATAATTTTCTTAGAAAAATTTCCATAAACGATTTTTGTTCTTGTCTTTCAAATATTGGCATGTGTTTTTCCCCATAGAAGAAATCATGACAAAACCTCTGGATGAGAATGTTCATTCAACTGCACAAGAAAACTCTCATGGGAAGGAAGACAGATACGGTTGCTACCAAGAGCTCGTGGTCAAATCTTTGATGCACGTGGGGAAATTTGAAAACAGTGCATCTGTCCAGACCACAAATGAAAACTTCAATGACAGTGGCATCCAGTCTCTCAAAGCAGAGAGCGACGAGGTGGACGAGTGCTTTATGGTTCATTCCGATGACGGAAAAGACCACATCGGCGACTCCCAGCGGAGATTCTGCTCCTCCGATGACAATGAAAGCAACTCGGAAAGTACAGAGAACGGCTGGGACAGTGGCTCCAACTTCTCCGAAGAAGCCAAACCACGTAGAGTTCCAAAGTATATTTTAGTGGATGATAGGAAAGACATAGTGGAAGTCCCCGAAATAAAGACCGAAGGTGACAAATTTATCTCTTGTGAAAACAGGTGTGATTCTGACCCAGAAAGGAGAGACCCGCACAGCGCTCGCACGGATGCACTGGAGGGCAGAGCGCAGGCCCCCTTCCCCGGGGCCGAGGAGGATGACAGCCAGTGCCTGGCCGTGATGACAGAGGAGTCTGTGGACCTGGAGAAGGCCAAGGGGAACTTAAGTTTGCTGGAGCAGGCCATCGCTCTGCAGGCCGAGCGAGGCTGTACTTTCCATAACACCTACAAAGAGCTGGACAGGTTTCTGCTGGAGCACCTCGCAGGGGAAAGGAGACAAGCCAAAGTTACCGACATGGGTGGAAGACAACTCTTTAACAATAAACGTAAGACATGCTTTTGCATTTTCTTTAGAAAGAAAATTGTGTTAGGGTTGGGAAAAAAAAATTAGTTCAGACTTGATTACTTCTTCCAGATAGCTGTTTGGACAACTTCACACCATTTGAAAACTAGTTTATATTTTATATTATAAAATAAGCAATTTCTCTAAATTGTTCTCAGATCAAGCTTGGTCAGTTGTGTAGTGTTTTGACACACGATAAAAGGATCATTGCCTCTATTTCTTCTAATTTGATTGCTTTTAAAAAGAATATAGTACTTTTTTAAAAGTACTTTATTGTACATTAGAAGTATATTAGTCTTTATTGGATTTTAAATCATCATATTAATCAAGTTATTGGATTTTAAATCATCATATTAATCAAGTCAATTCCAGAAATTTATTATTTCTTTCCCACCCTCTTTCTGGGGTCATCTGACTGTCTTTAAGCTTCAAAATAGCCCGGCCAGCTTGGCTCAGTGGTTGAGCATCAACCTATGAACCATGAGGTCATGGTTCAATTCCTGGTCAGGCCATATGCCCAGGTTGCCGGCTCCATCCCCAGTGAGGGACGTGCAGGAAGCAGCTGATTAATGCTTCTCTCTTATCATTGATGTTTCTATCTCTCTCTCCCTCTGAAATTAATAATAATAATAATAAAAAAATAACGTTAAACTACTTGCAAGTCAAGCAGGATGATCTATCTGATCCTTCTTAGGATAAAACTGGCTGTTAATGCTTTTATAAGCCTCTGCTTTTTACAAGCTCTCTAACTCAGGGTCCACAAAAATCTGGGCCAAGCTTGAATGCGAGAGTAAATAAGCTTAAAATTGTTCCTCAGACTTTAGGGAAATTGTGTTTTCTCTCCCATAAAGATAATCCCCTCCCCCACTCCACCCCCAACCTTGCACAAGGTGGGCCTGATGATGATTTTTTACAGTTAAGTGGAGTTTCCCAAATGGTATGTAAGTGCCTAGAAAGCTAAGATGTGTATTTCCAGGATCTCATGAGACTCACTGCTCCAGAACTCGACATTTTTAAAGCAAGTTTGTCAATTGATTCTTGGACACCCTGAAGGCTGGTAACCACAGAATCAGGGAAAATCAAGGTGGTGGCCCGAAGCTTGTGCTTATTAGAAGAGTTAGATGTTTGGTTGCTATTTATGCATGAATGAATGGTTTTGTCATTTTAAGTCTGTTTTACTACTCACCTGCAATCTTATTAGGTATTGCCTTGCAGCTCAGAGCTGAGAAAGCAGAAAAGAATAAGATGACGTCACGTAGTGAGGAACTAGATAATGCTATGCAAACATTCTGCCAGGGTTGGGATGGGGACAGAATATTAATGACGTGTGTGTGGTTTGGGACAGGACACTGTATTTAGCTCTGTGTACTCCACTAATAGGCAACTGTTGGATTTATCTGCGTGTTTGGTTTTTTTTGTTTGTTTGTTTTGTTTTTTAAATAAACTACAAGCCAGAAAAAAAGAAATTTGCTTCCAATTCCCCAACTCATAATATCTAATATATTACATTTCATTCATCCTAAGATACAGAGTTTCCCAGTTTAATATCTCTGAAATCACAGAATGTGCCATAATTAAATTTTAATAGTTTTTTCTTTCTTACTAGCATACAAATTATGTTTCATCTTACAATTGATGAAATCTTCCAGCCAATGTAATCCAGTATTTGGAGAAATTTTAATTATTTGTGCTACAGCTTGAAATACTTGATCCTTGGGTCAATTTTATAGACCTTTTGAAACTATTTTTTGTTTTCAAAAATTAACAAGGCGTTGGAATCTGTGCTTATAGACTTGGGTGATGTTGGAGATTTACTGAATGGCTAATGCTGCTGCATGGGTCAACAGTATATCTTATTGCGTAGAGCAGCGGTTCTCAACCTGTGGGTCGCGACCCTTTGGGGGTCGAACGACCCTTTCACAGAGGTCGCCTATATACATCCTACATATCAGATATTTACATTATGATTCATAACAGTAGCAAAATTACAGTTATGAAGTAGCAACGAAAATAATTTTATGGTTGGGGTTCACCACAACATGAGGAACTGTATTAAAGGGTCGCGGCCTTAGGAAGGTTGAGAACCACAGGCGTAGAGCACTGTCCTGCCTTGGGGTGTAAATAGCCGATGCCAGGAAGATCCAGACCAGAGTAGTATATAACAGACAGGGAAAAAGAAGTGGAACTCAGAGAAATTGTAGGTGTGGTCCAGAGAATGCCTACAGAGTCCAAATTAAGTATTAACTTTCCTGTTCCTCTTTTTAGATTTGGGAGCCAGCAGCGTTAGAGGTGCTTTTTTTCTCTGGCATAAATTCCATGCTTCTAAGTCAACACTTTTCCCAAATGATAGCCACGCTCTTCAAAATATCATCCTCATTTTCTATAGACTGTGGGCATGTGACAGCTGTTAAGGAGAGAACAGTAGAATTTTAAAATATCATTTTACCCAAGACTTCAGATGAGTCAGCAATTCTAAAGTAAAGTTTGACTATCCTGTTGCCACCAAGCATCTAGTGAGACTTTAAGTCGAAATATAAGTAGAGTCATCGTAGAATGTATAGTTCAGCCTCTTGGAGTGAAGGGGAGTGATATGAACAACCACACAGGTATATCAGGCGGGAACTGGGACAGTCCCAGACAAACCAGGATGTAGAGTCATCAGGGGAGACGGTCATTATGCAGCATTTCACACAGAAAATGGAGGAGCCAGGCCTGAGATCACAGGAGCTCTGGCTTCTCAGCCTGCACAGGGGCTCTGCCCTATAGAGCATTTCATTAGCATCTCGTTTCACCCACAGAAAAGAGCTTGCAGACAAAGGTGCATGATGGACGTCAGGGGACCACACCTGGTCAGGAGCCAGCGGCCTTATCTCCCACACCCTCTCTGGCTTCCTGCGCACCGATAGTGTGGCAAAGAGGAGGCACATTCGACGCCAAACCTTTCAGTCTGGTTTAGAAATGTGGCCTCACCTGGGTGAGGTCCAAGAGAGGAAAGGCACCGAATTACACATTGTTTCTCCTTTTTTCCTAATTCACTCTCCTGTGCTGTCAACCCTCTGAGTTTCGCTATCAGCAAACTTCAAGGAATTTGACTAGCGATCTCCTGGAGAGGACAACCTGAAAGTGGGCAACGTTTTTGGATTCAATAAAATCTATCGCCATAAAAATCATAGAACAAGTCAAAGCCCTTTTGTCTCTTACAGAAAAGTGTATGTTCTCCACATGATGGCATTTAAATTCTGTCTCTCTTTAAACAAAACGCCTGCTCCTCAAGGCATCCCTATCTTTCCTCTGTTCATTTCTCACTTAACTTAGAGCTTTCTTTCGGCTCCCCTACCCCCAGCCCCTGAGTGACAACTTGAAGGACCCTTGGCTCCTCCCCCTTTGCTGAAACCCTGCTCCCAAATAATTGCATTACATACAACCTGCTGTGCCCACCTGCCCAGGACCGCTTGTACTCCAACAACTGGGGTGGCATGCTATCTCAGAGGCACGTCTGCTCTCACAGTCCTCTGCCCTGGAGACGGCTGCCACATCCTGTGACCTTGCCCTGCTCCCCGGGCCATGCTTGGAGCGGCAGCACACGTGCCCTCCACATCCACCTGGCAGGACTCACCCCCTCCCCCACACCCCCACACCCCCGTCCCATCGCTGGCAGCTTATTTATTTTCATTATTATTTTTCATTCCATGCACTAGTGAGGGAGGCCGTTTGGGCTAGAAGAATGCATTTGTGTTTGAAGTTCATTTGCCATCTCGACCACAAATATGAAAATTCTATAGAAGGCCTCTCTGTTAGTTTTAACCTCCTTAGTAGTTCTGTTAGTTCTCATTCATTTTATATATTTAGCTAACCCTTTAGCTAACCCTCAGCCAGAAGACCAGACGATTAACACCCAGGGCTTACACCCAGGGCTTGTCTTCAGCCCTTCCCCTGACCAAGGTGTCCCCGGTCCCTGCCTGGCTGTGCCTGGGATCCGCACCCCCACCTCTGCTCTTGGCAGCACCCTCCAGGCCATGCAGGGCGGCCTCCACTCTTCGTACTTCCATTCTCTCTAAGTTCCTGCAAGAATGTTGCTTTGCCAAACCTCCTTCCTATTGCCTCTGTTGTTAGCTTTTGCATTCAGAGTAAAGCCAGCAGCTCCTTTTCTGTAGCCACTGCCTGCAGATCCCAAATGGCAAACCATTGGCGTTTTGGAACCTCGGGCCTCTGCAGCACTGGCCATGGCACCAGGTGGCATGCTGGCATCCTTGTCCTAACTCTCGCAGAAGCAGGTTCCACACGTGTCTAGGAGCAGCGGCTGGGCCCTGGAGCCTGGGGCCACCTGCTTTGTGAGTGACAAGGCCAGAGATGTCTTTCTCAGATATGGTGGCTTCTTTGTTTTGTCATTGTGAACCGGCTTTTTCCAGACACCTTCAATAGGAGGTAGTTTTGGGTTTAAATAAAGTCTTTCTTCTTTCTCACCTTTTTTCTTTTTCTTTTCAGGAGCCTGTGTATCCTGTGGTGTGGACTTGCTTTTTCACAGTGAGGCTCTAACTACAATCTGTGGCATGACAACTTAAAGCCATCTTGTGTTTTAACACTCCCTTGCCCTGGGTCAGCCTTTGCTTAGGAAACCAAGGAAATTGAAAATCTTTTTTATGTGTCCACAGGTCTTAGTTGAGGGTCTCACTCAAGGCAATGTGAGAAGAATGTTTATGATGATAAAACTGAATAAAGTGAGAATGTCACCCTGCAAGGCCATCCTATTGAAAAGGAAGGGAAAGAAGAATAACCAAACGAATCTTTCCATTTTATTTCTCTGCAGATTCACCGAGGCCTGAGAAGAGGGAGACCAAGTGCCCCATCCCCGGGTGCGATGGCACAGGCCATGTGACAGGGCTCTACCCCCACCACCGCAGCCTTTCGGGGTGCCCCCACAAAGTGCGGGTTCCCCTCGAAAGTGAGTACTGCTTAGCTCTAAAAGAAGGAGGTGCCTTGTTGTACATCCCACAGCATCACAGTGTGATCCTCTTTCTCCTCTAATTTGGAATTAGGAATGGAAATATAAAGTTGTTAAACATTTCATCAAGATAATTTTCATCTGGCCTGGTGTTTAAAATACAGTGTAGAGATAGAAAATGTGGGAACAGTCAGGCCAATAGGTCATGCGATGACTGATATTGAGAAGGTAATTTGTTACTCATAGTTCCCAAGAGGAGGGGGCAGGCCTCACCAGGCAGGGCCACCCTGGGAAGTCCCAGGGCCAGTCGGGGGCAGAGTGAGGGCGGGGCAACAGCCTTTATTGTGGTTTCCTGGGAAGGAACAGAGTGAGCAGGTTTAGGATTGGCTAGATCAGTGGTTGGCAAACTGCGGCTCGGCAAACCGTGGCTCGCAAGCCACATGCGGCTCTTTGGCCCCTTCAGTGTGGCTCTTCCACAAAATACCGGCTCTTCCACAAAATACCGACTTCTGCGCATGGGCCACGAAGTTTCAATCACACTGTACATGTGCGCCCGCACGTGGTATTTTGTGGAAGAGCCACATTCAAGGGGCCAAAGAGCCGCATGTGGCTCGTGAGTGGCAGTTTGCCGACCACGGGGCTAGATTGACTCCTTTCGGGGGCTCTGGCCCTGGGAGGTTGGGGCAGGTGAGAGGGTTCTGTAATGCCAGAACCTGATGAAAGGCAGTTGGGTGAGGGCTCAGAAGGGGTTGGTTTGCCACTGAAAAGTGTTTACTGTGTCTAGGAATTAGGTAGCCCTGGGAGGGGCAGGCTCCCCACGGTTAGCAAGGCCCCAGATATCAAAGCATCAAAGTACAGAAAATGAAAGGCATGGCTGATACGCTGTGTGACTGCGTACTCAGAGGCATGGGTTCCTTCTACCCACAAGGAGCGTTAGCCTCAGTGCATCACTGAAATGTGGGAAGTGCATCACTTCGCCAATGCCCTCTGGACCGCTGCACTGAGGGTCACGGAATGTCTGGGATGTTGCCCCAGGACAACAGCAGCTGGGGGCCTTGGGCAAGAGCCAACCTGAGTTGGTCTCTCCACCCACATGCCCACTGTGAACTAGGAAACTAAAGGAAAAGGAAAGGACTGCCTCCTAGGTTGTCAAGTATCTCTGTGTTACATCCTCTACTTTTTGAACCCACTCATTGAAACACCTCTTGGGTCATAAAAACCACAGTGATGGGAATGCCCAACATCACCTTTCTCAAAAGGTTTTTTTTTTTTTTTTTTTTTTTTTTTGCAAATCACTGAAACTAATCAGCTCATCACTGCCCCATTGGATTAGCAGTTCCTCACACTGATTGCCTCAACCATACTCTTCCACCAATAATTGAATGGCAGTGAGGGTGAGGAGTGGGGGGTGATGGACAAAGAATCAAAATAATGTCTTTTGGGAAATAAAAAAAGACCATATTCAGAACGTCATACTGTGGGGAAAAGATAGAAAGAATAACTATCTATACTAATAAAAGCCTAGGTGCCTCTCATGTGTGACGTCATCACAAGATGGCCACCACAAGATAGCCGCCGCAAGATGGCCACGTGCACAGCGGAGGTGGGGCCTGGCGGTCGCTCTGCACACTGAGACCTGGGGGTCCCATGGCTCTGTGTGGCATGGAGGAGACCGGTCCCAGTGTCTCCGCCGCCTCCCGCGAAGGAGGCAGGTCTCAGCAGAGGAGGTGGGTCGTGGCAGGGGAAGGCAGTTGTGGGCAATCGGGCCAGGAGGGGAGGGCAGTTGGGGGTCATCGGACTGGCAGGGAGGGCAGTTGGGGGCCTTCGGGGCAGCAGGGGAGCAGTTAGGCGTCAATCAGGCCAGCAGGGGTGGTTAGGGGGTGATCAGGCTGGCAGGCAGAAGCGGTTAGGGCAGTGGTCAGCAAACCGCAGCTTGTGAGCCACATGTGGCTCTTTGGCCCTTTGAGTATGGCTCTTCCACAAAATATCACGTGCGGGTGCACACGTACAGTGCGATTGAAACTTCATGGTCCATGCGCAGAAGTCAGTATTTTGTGGAAGAACCACACTCAAGGGGCCAAAGAGCCACATGTGGCTCATGAGCTGCGGTTTGCTGAGCCGCAGTTGGCCGACCACTGTGTTAGGGGCAATCAGGGCAGGCAGGCAGGCGAGAGATTAGGAGTCAGTGGTACTTGGATTGTGAGAGGGATGTCCCGACTGCTGGTTTAGGCCCACAGGGATTGGGCCTAAACCGGCAGTCGGACATCCCCCAAGGGGTCCCAGATTGGAGAGGGTGCAGGCCGGACTGAGGGAACCTCCCCCCCCCAACATGCATGAATTTCATGCACCAGGCCTCTAGTTTGATAAATAATGTTTTCCATTCACTCCAAGGAAAAGCATCTATATATATAAAGAGCCAGGGTCCATCACATCCAAAACGACCAAAGGCTCAACCTAACGCCCAGGCTGCGTGCGCAACAGGCTCTGGTGGGTGGGGACTTGTGGCAGTGGGGCCGAGGCCGGGGGAGGGGGGGCCCGGCACTCACACTCATTCACAACCACACACACGCACAGACACACACAGCGCCTACCAGCTCACAGTCTTTTCTCCCTTTCTTTCCCTCCCTCCCAGCTTGCTCTCAGAGTCTCTCTATGAATGAGGCCCCAGGGAAGGCAGAGGATGGAGCTGCCCCCATTGGCCCTGCCCCCTCCCAGCTGGGAAAGAGGAAGAGGGAGAAAGGGAGGCAGGGAGGCCTGGAGGACTGCTAGAAAAACAAAGAGAGACAGAGACTGGGAGAGACTGGGATGGAGAGATGGAAACAAAATAACAATATTAAAATATTTCCTCTAATTAATTCCCTTTTAATGTGCATGAATTTCATGGACTGGGCCACTAGTATAAATATAAAAGGAAGAATATAAGCTTTTCAGTTTAAGTTAAATATAAGCAGAATCATCTCATTTAAGTCTAGCGTTAACCATAATAGGAAGTTTAGAAAACCTCAGACTTGCTGAATTTAATTGTTGAAGTCCTTAAGTGCCCATTTACTTCAACCCCAATAACTATGGGGAGGAAGCAGCGAGGGTTATGTAACTAAATTCATTTGACTGCAAACTTGAGAAATCACCTTGTGCTTGTGTCATGTGCTTATAGTATATTATTTTTTCCTTCTATGTGACATTTTGTGCTTAGTTCTTGCCATGCATGAAAATGTGCTCAAGTGCCCCACCCCAGGATGCACAGGAAGAGGGCATGTGAACAGCAACCGGAACACCCACAGGAGGTAATGGTGATGAGTTGCTAACCTTTTACATTACAAAGAAGTGAGAGACTCTTTCCATCAAGAAAATAAGAAGCTAGCAATGTGTTATCCAAATCACTGCAGCAGTATCAGATACCTGACCACTTGAAGTAGATAAGAAGTATTCTCAATTTGTGCAGACTAAAAAAAAAATGACCTCACTGTTTACTCTCCTAGAAATGTTCTTTTAGCAGTCAATTATGCTAACACAAATGTTAAATTTGAAGACCAGGATTACACATTCATGTAGTCCTACAAGTAGAACATGTTTTCTTTTGCTCTGAACCCATAGCTGTTTTGATATTGAAAAGAATCGCTTAGGAGTTATCTTGAACCCCATTCTAAAAGCATTAAAAAGGTACCCAAAAGGCTTCGATATGCTGTGGTTTTGACTATATATTAGGATGAAGCTAAATATTACTACATTTCATGGAGATTCATCTCATTGAGATCTCATCTACCTTAAAACACATATGTGCATTTATATACAAATGTATTATGTATATGTAAATATTTTTGGTGAAAATGCTTATTGTTTTATGTGTATTTTGTATTATGTATAGACTATGTGGTCTGGAGATACTATTTGATTCATAAGCATATTGCCAGAAACCTTCATATTCTATTTAAACTCAGACATCCAATGAAGTTGCTAACATTTCCCTAAAGATCCGAAGATAAATCATGGAGTTATCATGCTAACATCTATAGTTGGATACATTGCAATTGGAGTGAGCACTGTCCACTTAAAATATTATAGAAATTTCAGGATAATTTAGTTATTTCTTCTTTAGGTAATACTTTGATTTTTAATATGAGTTTGTTATCTACCACCTCTGAGATGTGGTTGAGGGACATATGTTGACACTATAGTTTGCAAACCCCTTTACTGTGTTAAGTGAGCTATTAATGTGACTTAATAGTGTGTGAGAGGTATGATGTGAGGTACCTGCCAAAGCAAATTATGTTATCTTTTTTTTTTAACTCAAATTCTCACTGTTTTATTTTTGACAGTCTTTCGGGTTGTCCAATTGCTGCGGCTGAAAAATTGGCAATGTCCCAGGACAAAAGTCAGTTTGATTCTTCCCAAACTGGGCAGTGTTCTGACCAGGTTCACAGGTATGACCCTCCCATGACACGCCTGGTACTGTATTCATGCCATGCTCCTACGCAATGGGTCTGTCCCCTCTCGTGTGCTAGTTCACTACGGCCAACATTCGTTCTCAGCTACCAATAGTCACTGGAGAGGCTGGTCCAGTTGATCATACTGTCACTTAAATGAACTTCTAGACCATCCAGAAGTTTCACTTGAAATTAATCTGTATGCAAAGGTAACATAATGTGGTTGAATCTAAAAGAACTAAAGTATATGATAACATATATTAATCAAAAATTTGCATCACTAAAGGCAACCCATTCCACTGGTCAGCTATGGTCTTCCTAATGATTGAATTAACCTTTCTCCCCAGAGAAAATGCCACCATAAATCATTCATATCACTCAAACTACGTGATGCTATATATTCGCCTTCTCTTCCACATGTACATTTAGCTTTTTTTAAAACAAAGATTTAATTGAGTAAGTTGGTAACTATTAATAAAATATATCTAATTTGTCCTAGGTGCATCACAATCTCTGGTAGTTTAGAAGACAATATTTATACCTAAGTAGTAAACTATATATGATGCCACTTAATGTTATATATTTAGTAATATAAAAATCATATATCTAAGAAAAGTGATTTCAGGATGAAAACAGATGATCAGATCTTCATTGTTACTGAGACACTGAAATGCAAAATAGATAGTAGGAATATTTTTTTGAGATTTGGCTTCTATTAATATGTGATCCTATAGATTTAATTAAAAGATTCAAAATAGGAATTCAAATTCCATGAGTGAATAATATGTGTCAAGCCCTAACAGGTTTGGCTCAGTGGATAGAGCATCAGCCTGCAGACTGAAGGGTCCCAGGTTCGATTCCGGTCAAGGGCATGTACCTTGATTGTGTACACATCCCCAGTAGGGGGTGTGCAGGAGGCAACTGATCGATGTTTCTCTCTCATCGATGTTTTTAACACTCTATCTCTTTCCCTTCCTCTCTGTAAAAAATCAATAAAATATATTAAAAAAAGAATATATGTCAAATGAAGTACATGAATTACTGAATAACTAGCAATTTAATATTTTATAACAAGCTTCTTAGTTAGTATTACTGTATTCTCTAGTTTTCCCCTAAGTAGGTTATTTATTAAATATAGAAATAACATTAAGTTTTAATTTGCTAATTTCTTAAAAAATAAATATTGTTTTAGACTGGAACACATGCAACATTAGGAGTATAAACCAAGTTATATACACAATAGCAAGATTAATTCATCACTCAAAATATTTTTATATTTCAGCAAAAAAGTTTTTTTTACAAAATCCAGGAAATATTATCAAAACTTTGACATTCTGATGAGTCAGGCATGTTTTGGTAGGAGACATACACATATAAATATGTATAGGAATCCCCCAGAAATGTATACACACTTTGAATGATTATAAAGTAAGTGTTTATTAACATACAGTTCATTTTCAAGATTTAAAAAAATCTACAGAAATGAATAATTTTTTTTTTTGGTCAACACCTGTTTTCAAACTGATGACTGTTCTGGTCCAGGCACTGCTTGATAATGCAAAGCACTGGAATTACAAGCATCAAGAGTCATTTCCTTCGGGATTTGTGCACCCCGAATTTGTCAGCTGTTGCCAGTTTTGTACTGTAAACTTTATCTTTTACGTATCCCCATAGAAAAGTCTAGTAGATAAATTTTCTTTGTTCAAAACTTAGTCTGGCTTCGCCTATTATTTCAAATCAGTTGAACCTGAAAAGGAGTGAAAATTAAGTGAGTTACCAGCTGTTAAAGTGTATACATGTTTTTTGGGACACCTTGTATATCTATCTATATCTATATATGTATCTATCTCTATCTATCTATATACATATCTATATATACATATATGTATTCTGAAAGGTATATTTGTTTAAATTCTTTTACCATTAGACCATAGCACAACAATATTTGTGTTTTCATTGACTGGAACTGGTACTCCATAAATAGGATGCCCTTGTGTAATCCAAATACAATAATTCTAAAGGAATAGTTAATTCACATTTAGCTTAGATTGGGATAATTTTGTTGAAAACTGTGATAGCTGTGATAACACAGTAATTTAGATTCCTATTGAAATGATGGCAATTTAATAGCTACAATATTGAATACTATTTAAACGATTATGTAAATTAGCAAAAACATTCAGACTGCAGTTAGCAAGAAAGGTGAAAAGCCTGACAAGAAACTCACAATCCAGGAAGCGGTTTCCTGGTGCCTTGGCTGCTCCTTTGAGGTGCTGGGCTCCTGCCAGTTCTGCTGAGCACGGCAGAGGCCAGCATCGCTTCTCCTGATCAGAATATAACGGCTTTTCCTCACCAGTTATGTTACTTTTCACTGCTAATTTGATGAACAGTCCTCGCAAGCAGAACGTGCACACCTTGTCAGTGCCCTACTAATAGTTACACGGCACTTTTCTCTAAGGAGCTCAAAGTGCTAACATCCATCAAATACTTGCTCCTCGTGGCATCTGCATCAAATGAGTGGGAGATTGTACATCTTTCCTTTATGGATGGGAGACTGAGACACACAAAATGAAGCCTCACCTTAGCCACCCAGAGCCCAAAGCGCCTCCCTGTCTCTTACTCCGGGTGCAGAGCTGTGACCAAGGCCTTTCCCGCAGTGCAGTGTCGCTAAGGGTGCCCGCAGGCATGCCACCTCTGATCTGCTTTAATGCTGAGGCTGGTGTGTTCACCACGAGGTTCACCATATTTCTTTCAAACTCTTCAGGACAAGCTTGGTGAAGCAAATAGAATTCAATTTCCGATCACAAGCCATCGCCTCCCCCAGAGCCACGGTGTCAAAAGAACAAGAGAAATTTGGAAAAGTACCGTTTGATTATGCCAGCTTCGATGCACAGGTTTTTGGTAAACGACCCCTAATACAAACAGGTCAAGGACAAAAAACTGCACCGTTTCCTGAATGTAAGCTTTGAATTCTAATGCTTATTCCAAAAAACGTGTATTGTGTATGTGTGTGTTTGGGGAGGGGGGTGTACTTAAATATGCTACTCACTGCTGGGAGAAGAGAAAATATATTGCACATCGAAATAACAGAAACAACGATAAGTTGATGAGTGTTGCTGATTTTATATGAACTTACACTGAATATGGTGATTAATGAATGATTTAATTATTCTAAAAATGTGGTACTATTGTTTAGTCTGAATACAATTTTCTAAAGAAATATTTATTCCACATTTAGCTGAGATTGGGATTAATATATTGAAAATGGTAAGAGTTATTATAAGAGAGTAAATTTGACTGAGAATGAACTTTTGAAAATTTAATAGGTAAAATATTGAAATACTACTTAAAACATTACTTAATTAGCAAAAGTGTTCAGACTGAAAGTAGGAGAAAAAGTGAAAAGTCTAAGAAGGAACACAATTTACTGGGAAAAAATGTGTGTGGCTATGGAGATATTTACTCACAAATTTAAGAATTTATATAGAAACATTGAAAATGTGTTAATACTCTAACGCTAACACATCCACATGGAAGATGTGTTCATCACTCAACGATGCTCTAACATATAAAGCTTGATGGTTTTCCTAACACATTATTTTTCAAGTTGTTTAGAGTCTTTGAGTATTTTAATGAAAAGGAGAGAAAGTGACGTTGGCAATAAAGCCAGGAATGATTTTTTCATTATAGTAACTTAATCATAAGGGAAGAAGCAAACTAATTCCCCACTTTGAGTCCTCCATAGACCACGAATTATATACAACATTCCACAATTCTGTGAAATCCTTTGATCTCACACCTCTTCACCAAGACTGAGTGCTCCTACAACACAGAGTCTTTGCTTCATTCTGTGATATTGATCTCCTCTTTCAAAGGACTAGGATGCTATATGAACCTAGCAGTATAAAACCAGGCCTGAAATGAGTCTGCTATCAATGAGAAGGAGCTTCTACTCCAAATATGCTCTGCCTATTCTTACCAAAAATAGGCCCCAGACACCATAAATAAGCACTGAAAACCTGTTAGATTAAGGAAAAATATCACACACACATGTGCGCACACACATGCACAGAGTATGTTTTGTATCTATCTATACAATGTTATATATAGTTTCATTAAAAATATGCAACACACACACACGTGCATATCTGTTTAATTCTGGTAAAGCTAGTTAATAAGAGCTATCTGTATACTCACATAATATCAACATTGGTTTAAAAATGTGAAATATTCCGTGATATTTTCATATTCTTATGTAGGGATAACATTTGATAAGTTTTCAAATTTTGTTTTATAAAAATAATGATAAAACATTTAAAATAAACAATATTGACAGCAAAATGAATAACTAACTGCTTTAGTATAATCCCCAATTATCTTGGGTGTGTCGACTGTAACCTTGAGCGATGTTTACAAACACCCAGTGAAGAGAAATATGCATAATTCTCTCTCTCGGCAATGCTTTGGTCCCCACAACAGAAACATAAAACAGAAACTCCGCCTTGATATCTAAGTTGCCTCTCTGTTCACCTTGAGGACATTTTCTCTGTCCTTTGCTCATCGTGTGCTGCCTGAATATGCAAAATGCCAGCTCGTTAAAGACTCTGCCACCTCGTTAGTTCCATCGAGTTGGAGGGAGAACAGCTTCTACTGGTTTAAGTACAAAGCAAACCTGGGTATCAAGTAAACAGAAATGCAATTCCATATCTAAATATAACTTGTTATTGTGAAAGCAAATATTGAAAGGATATATATTTTCTCTTCTGGAATGACTGGTCCGTACACACACAGTTTACAGATGTATAAGCCTTAACCCTCTGTAGGCCCTGATGTGTTTTAGCTAGAGTGGTTTTTAATATACAATCTTTGCCCCAAATGCTGCCAGTGCACTTGCCCCATAACATTAGCTGTGGAGTTTTTGCTATAAGATGTAGAAATACAAAAAATATTAAGAGAATAGGCATCTTTTTTTCTCCAGCATTCACACCATCTGTGAACTTCTGTGATAACCAATCTGAGTAACCTTCCTTGAATGTACCAATGCATAATGGATCGTGTTTTCATTCACTCTTCACATATTTTAAAGCAAGGAGTTGTATCTTTAAAACAAATCTGTTTAATGACCGGCACCACGTACATGCAATTGCTAATCAAATCTCTTTTCAGCAGCGAAGCATTTTTCAAATCCAGGGAAATTTCCTAATGGACTGCCTGGTGCAGGCGCCCACACACAGAGCCCTTGCCGTGCCAGCTCTTACAGCTACGGTCAGTGCAGCGAAGACACCCACATAGCAGCAGCTGCTGCCATCCTGAACCTTTCCACCCGCTGCAGGGAGGCTGCCCACATCCTCTCCAACAAACCACAGAGCCTGCATGCCAAGGTAGGCCAGTCCAAGAGCCTGGAGGGGGGGCCGGCGCCTGAACCCTGAGAGTAAACTGCCTTTCATGTTCCTAACCACGTGCACTGCCCTGCCGCTCCCACCCCTAAAGCACATCCCCTCCTTGTCTTAAGAAGAGGGTCAGGGGCCCAGTGACAGGGATGAGTTGGCCGGTTCCAGGAGGCATGAAAGAGGGGCTGTTCTGGAAGGAGGTACCCCCAAGTTGGGGGTGAGCTATAGAGACTGGCTGGGGAGATGTGTAGCTTTCAAAGTTATGTGTTTTTTGTTTGTCTGTTTGTTTGAGGAGTTTGGCACACAAGAAAAGAGGGTTGCCATTAAAATCAGTCTGAACAAGGGAAGCTTTTTGCTGTCTGCGAATCAAAGAGGGTAGGAACTGTATGATTCAACTGTGACTCGTAAAACCTTCGCAAAACTGACTCAGGGCATTTTGTAATTGCATGTGATCGCTAGCCCAGGGTGCTGTAGTTCCCAAAGGACATGTAGTAAAACCTGGACACATTGAATCCACAAGAGATAGTTCAGGGGGACTGGAGGGCTAAGGGCAGGGGTGGGGAACGTCCGGCACGCAGGCCATTTAAGGCCCGTGAAATCATTTGGTCTGGACTTGGCAAGGCATTAGGGGTGAGCTCATTAAATGTTTAACCAAATATAGATGGCTAATTTTTAAGTTAATAATGTTTATCACCCTTGAATGATGTCATACATATCCAAATGGCCCTTGGTAGGAAAAAGGTTCCCCACCCCTGGTTTAGGGCATCCACATCCAAAATCGAATTCTAGGAGGTGCATGAAGATGCCACATTTCTGAAGCCTCAGAAGTTAATTCTGTTTCTCTAATGACCTCGCCTTTCTAACCAGCAACGGGAAGTCCACATGCGTGTTTCTGACACCTCGATGACAACAAGAAGCAGAGGCCCTCCGTGTCCTGCCTTTTGAGAAGGAGGGGTTGATGGGCTGCGAGTCACAGTGATCCTCCCCAGAGGGAGGGCAGGACTGAGCCTGCCATCAGCCTCAGCGGGAGCCAGGAAGTCCTACCTACACAAAGGGCTCCCTTAAAATAAATCAGTTTCTACCCAGATGGCAGAAGGCAACCGAAATAGAGTGTGGGCTTATTTGGAGAAGAGATTTTACTCCTACTTTCAGTGAAAGAACCTTGGGTTAAACGCTAACCCCAAGATTCAGGCGATCAAAGGATACTGGTCTCTTTGCCAATTAAGCGCAGCCCCATCCCCAGTGTGGTCAGCTGCTCACCTGTGCCTGCCAGGCCTTCAGGAGACTGGGAACGCGGTGCTATGGAGCATTTGACAGAAGAATCGGAATTAGCTTCTGGACAAATCTGAGCCAAGTAAACCCCAGGAAGAGTTGGTGGGCCAAGAATCACTCAAAAACAATTTTTAAACAAATGAGATTCTTAAACAAAGAAAAATACATCCTCTAAAAATATAAAGAAAATACCAAGTTATCCAAATTCAAAGGACACCAAGTCAGAAATTATTTACTTAAATAAATGATCTAGGGTACTTCAAAATGCAACTTTTGTTATTTTAAAATTTATCTTTAAATCTGAATATTTTTTTCCTTTTTCAATATGCAGGTAGTTGGAGAAATACTAAACTATTGTCCTTCTTAGTGCTTTATTTTTTCTTTGTATAGGCTGTTCTATGAAAATAAAGGGCCAACATTATAATGATTAGTGCTGCTAAATCACTTGAGTAAAAGATTCTAAGTCGAATGCTTTCCATGTGCACATGCAGATATTTTTTTGTTTCTCAGAATTCTGACTTTAACCTTAATTAATACACTCCTGTGTTCTATTAATTGATGAAGCCAAACAATGAATCAAACAAAGATGACTAAAATCTGAGAGCATTTTCCCTTATCAATATATGTTCTCTTTTTAAAACACATTTTTTCTGGTCAGAAGAGTGACTGTTAAATTGGCTTATTTCAAAAATGCAAATGATCGACTTCCTGTGTATGTTCCTCTGCTCCCACTGGGCGCACTCTGAGTGCCAGTGTCCCCTGTGGAGCAGATGCGCCTGCCCAGGGGACAGGAGCTCACTGCTGGTCTCAGCCTCCCAGCTGCCAGCCCAGTCTTCACTGCAGAAGCCAAATCCGTTACGTGATGATGAAGATGGAAGAGACAGGAAGGGCAGAGATAGACTTTTAGAAGGAGTCTGCTCTTCTGGGAGCTTTCTAAACCATTCCCCCATGAAAGTGACCTCGTTTGGCACAGTGGTCGTTAAAACAGGCCGAAGATGGCCCCTCCAAAGTGTCACTTAGTAAGGAGTCCTTCCCCCAGCCACACATTTGCACGCAACTGTAGCAATTGGTAGAATTCTGTCCTCGTGGGATCCTGTTTCCTGAATAAAGAAGAGAACCTCATAAATTCCTAAAACCACAAAACATAATTTTTGTGGCAAAAAATAAAATAGAGAGGGAGAGAGAGAGAGAGAGAGAGAGAGAGAGAGAGAGAGAAAGCCAAAGTAATTAACCCTGAAAATGGCCTCTGACAAAGTGCCCATTGTGGGCCATGTGTATCGTCAGCATTGCACTTTGCTCTGTGCCTTTTGCTTAACGTTGGATGAACAATCGTCCCCGCCACATTGAGGACGAGGCTGACTCTCTTTCCACTAGCTTTGCTTTCCCCCCCATGGCAGGCTGTGAGCATGTTTATGTCGGATGGAAAACAGCCATAGATCTCTTGAGTTCCCTATTCGGAACCAAGGATGCGGACATAGGAAGTTTTCCCTTACTCTTGACTTCTGCAGCCAAGCATTTTTGATGTACTAGAGCAGCGGTTCTCAACCTGTGGGTCGTGACCCGTTTGGGGGTCGAATGACCCTTTCACAGGGGTTGCCTAAAACCATCGGAAAACACATATAATTACATATTGTTTTTGTGATGAATCACTATGCTTTAATTATGTTCAATTTGTAACAATGAAAATACATCCTGCATATCAGATATTTACATGACGATTCCCAACAGTAGCAAAATTACAGTAATGAAGTAGCAACGAAAATAATTCTAAGGTTGGGGGTCACCACAACATGAGGAACTGTATTAAAGGGTCATGGCATTAGGAAGGTTGAGAATTGCTGTACTAGAGAGACATTTTGGCAGATGGACTCTTAACTGTATGGACCAAAGGTGTTGAAGTGCTGGACTGCTCAGGCCCAGGTTAGATCCCATCACAGACCCTGCCTTCCGAAAGCTGACAGACAAAGCAGACACAATGGTTGTCCCAGGCAGAGGGCTAGGTTTTCAGCGGCCATGGTCCTCGTGTCCGGGTGCGGATGGGTGGCTTTGCAGAGAATTTGATCAGAACTTGGGCAGGAGCTGATTTCTCATTTTCCTTCTGCCTCCATCCAGTCCTTTCTTTTATGTCAGCAGCTTCTCTGAAGTCACTGAAAGCGCTCAGTGAGAGCCCAACAAAATTATAGATCATGATGTCACCCAGGCACAACCTTTTTAACATCAAGCCCAAGGACAGGAACCTTGACATTGCCTTCCTATTCACCTGTTGAGGTGAATATAGATTTTTTTTTCATGCTATTTGCAAGCTCTCAACCGATTCCAAGTTGAGTGGGAGATCTGAATTCTTGATTTGCAAAATCCCTACTCTAGTGGAAGATAGAAGCAGAGGCTGTTTTCAGAGTGGCAGGAGAGCTTTGAGTTCTTAACACTAAAAGCAATGAAGATTGGGCGTTATGGATATTCTAAAACGCTCTTCTCTTTCTGAAGTTCCTCAGCCCGAGCAGCTCTCTACCCAACACTGGGACACTGTCTTCATCAGCCCCTTCCCAACACCGCGCTGAGGATATCAGTACTAACACCCCTGCCCAGACTCAAGTCCGTTGCATCTGAAAATAACTTTTAAAGGGATTATTCATTAAAATACAACCTGGCGTGAATGCAACACATCCACCCTGCCAAAAATTACCTGTATATGTTTTAAGTATCTCTTTGAAGAATCAAGTCAAGAGAAAAAATAGTATCAATACTTAGTGGATAGCATAATCGTGAGAGATAATTTTGTGTAAGGTCTGAGCCCTCTTTTGATTCTAGTACTTACATTTGTTCTAAGATTTATGTAATGTCCTCTATTTTTTTAAAAATATATTTTATTGATTTTTTACAGAGAGGAAGGGAGAGGGATAGAGAGTTAGAAACATCGACGAGAGAGAAACATCGATCAGCTGCCTCCTGCACACTCCCCACTGGGGATGTGCCTGCAACCAAGGTACATGCCCTTGACTGGAATCGAACCTGGGACCCTTGAGTCCACAAGCTGACGCTCTATCCGCTGAGCCAAACCAGTTAGGGCAAATGTCCTCTATTTTAATTTGGAATTTACATGAGTTTGTAAAGCATACACGGACCATAGCCTCAGACACTCTCCCTTTAGTCTGGTGACTGTTCCTACTGATATTAGCGGAGAATTCAGTCAAATGGGCAGCAGGCATGGAGTGAGCATCCCCGGTGTGTGGAGTTTGCTGAGTGCTTTCCTCCTGCCCCGTAACAGCCTGTGCCAGCACGTGTCAGATTCACTCCCCGTTTTTCTTCCTCCCTCCCACCCTCACCAGCAGAGGTAGGAACACGCTTCACAGTCTATCTTTATCCCGGTCGCTGCTGCTTGCCAAGCGTTCTGTTGTTTGTTTTGGTGTCTCCCCCACCTGTTTAGACAAAGTGGCATATGCACAGTGTGCCTTAAAAGAAAACAAAAAATTGACACTTGCTTGAAATGTTTAAAGTTCAAAGTCTGTTTTGTGCTTGAACAAGGCCGAGAAACAACATGATATCACATCGCCATTCTTGCTGCCTGATATCAGAAATAGCCTGGCAGCTCTCAGGGTGGTTAGAATCTGAAAGCGGTCTTTTCAGTAACTTTACACCATGTACTGTGTGTAAAATGCTATAAGGGACTCAAGTCAAGGATCCCAAGGAACCAATTAATACACGTGTAGGGAAAATAGATATTTAATAACTGGCACTGTACCTCTGAGCACAGTAGCATAGAAACATGTCTCTTTTGGTATTCAAAAACCCAAATTATTATTATTACTAGAGGCCCAGTGCACGAATTTGTGCATGGGTGGGGTCCGGCTGGCCTGCCCCAATCGAGGCTGATGGGGCCAGGCCGGCAGGAAGGAGGGGTGGGAGGTGCCGATCGGGGGCAGGGCCAGCCAAGAGGAGGGGCCGTGGGCGGTTGGCTGGTCGGCCCTGTCCCCTGGTTGAACTCCTGGTCGAACTCCCGGTTGAGGGGACAATTGCATGTTAGCCTTTTATTATATAGGATTAGTTGTCATTCATTGAATATCTATTATGTACCAGGCACTATGAACTAGCACTTTGCCCACTTTAATCCTGTTTAATCTTTCTAGAAATTCCATAAAGCAGATATTATCTCATTTTGCAGATGAAGCAGCAGTGGTGCAGAGATATTAAATAATTTTCTCCTAGTGGCACAGCCATGAATGTTGGAGCTGCCATTTGAACTCACACCTGTCCCACTTCTCATCTTTTTAGAGAGCTTGTCATGGTGTGGTTTCAGACTGCTGGTCCACCAACAATTTCCACTGACTATGATTCCAAGTCCCAGACAAAGATTTTTGGGGAATTCCATACATTTTTCAGACAAAGACTTGGGGGAAATTTCATTTTAATTTTATACCCTATGGCAGACACTTATATTTCCTCTGAATTCCACCATTCTATTTATATTGAGTACATTTCACTAGTTTATACTCTTAATTTAGGAGTTTTAATACTCAATTACTATTTAGTAAGAATTAGATATTTATTTTTCCCCCTTATTTTTAATAATCTGCCTGCTTTGAAAGCAGATTTCAGATAGCTTCCAATCATGAAAAGGTACTCCCAAACACCCTGAAGCTAGCGTGAAAGAACACAAGAGATGAAAATGAGGGAGGGGCTAACTCCCACAGAAACCTAGGCTGAGGGACACTTCATTTTGCCCGCCCTTTTAGCCAAGTCAGAAAGGAAAAGGTGACGGGAGACCTACCTTGTATTAAGAGAAAATTTTGCCAAATATGGAAAACAATGGCTATCCTACCAATATTTTGAATATTAATAATTTTTATAATCAGAACATTTAAAGTAAAAATTATGATTTTGCTCCTTTAACTGCATCGTCATCTTTAATGTATGATGAAATTTTTAATTGTTGAAACAATGCACTATTTTCATGTGCCTGGAAAATATTGGAGGGAAGAGCCACAAGTCCATCCTCTAAATAGAAGGACCATACTTTATGCAGTTTTCTTTTTTGTTCTTCTGGAAACAAATTTCTATTTATTTTTTCCCTACTTGTAAGCAGAGTAGAAATGCCAGGCGGTTTCCTGCTTTCGGTGGTAGGTGATAGGTCTTTTCCATGTTGCTACAAAGTCCTCATAATTATTATTTTACAGGTCGCATAATGTGTCATTAAATAGATGTAGCATAATTTCAGTAATCATTTCTCTGTTGGTGTACAACTGAGACACTTCTTATTTTATAGTGCAGATAACAATTACAATGAATAATTATCTCAATTTTCAGTTTAATAATTTATAACATTTATTAAATCACCTTTTACTACTAATTTCTTATACACATAAAACAAGCTCCTCAGAGGCAGGAAGAATGTATTTTTTTCAACTTTCTTTTCCCCTAAATATAGTAGTTTGAAAATATTAAATGCTTTATCAGCAATTTAATGAATGAATGAATAAATTGTAGGTAGCATCTTTAACTTGAAAGTGGCTGAAATGGATAAGAGGGTGTTTGCCATGCTCCCAAATTGGAAAGTACATGAGTAGTGACAGACTTATGCCTACCCTCAAGAAAACTTAAAATTTAAAGTTAAACTAAAGATCCCAAAGAGCACTTTGAGAAATGAGAATATTAGAAGTCTGGGGGTGGGGCTCCATAGCAGCTGAAGGGCTGTTTTCTCCTCCTACAGTCCCCCGCCCCTCTCAACTCCTCCCCACTTTCATCCTGCCATTTGGAGTTTCAGACTGGAGAGGAAGTGATGTCCATAGACACAGCTCCGAATAAAACCCTGTGCAGTGAACGTGTGATCCACCCATCGACGGGCAGAAAGGGACCCTTCCCTGGAACTGAGTGTAACTGTTGACTGCATCTGTGCGCTCACTTTAAGCCCATTTGTACCCTGGTGCCCAGGCGTGCTCTCTCCCAGGCAAGTCAGGTGCTCAGAGCAGCCGGCTGGAGCCTGGGCTGCGGGAAAGTGCCTCTTTTAAACATTAGGAGTGATTTTTTTTTTCAATCAGCACACGATTACTCAAGATGTATACTCATAACAACTCTATTTTTGAAAAATGTACTATTTGGAACTTTTTTCCCCCCTGGGAAAATTAAAATACATATTAGCGTTGCCTTGGGATAATTGATATTTTTCAGTGAGCTCAAATCTGCACTATTTGTGGGTTTTGTACTATAAAACTCTGCAGCCCAGTCACATGGCTCCTTTCCCTAAGCCATCTGTCACAGAGGTCTGGAATTTTATGTGAATGTTAGCTGTGCAGTCTTAACCCAAGTTTTTTTTTTTTAAATGAAAAAATGCCAGCAACTATGGCATTTAGCACTTTACATTGGTTATTAAACTTGATTACTATAGATCTGTTTTATTGCTGTAGTTACATAGCAGCTATGAAGCCAATAATTGCCTTGATATGCTCATGACAGAATGCATCGTTATATCATGGAGAGAGCACATGGCACTGATATGGTTAATATCTTGGGTTTTTGTAACTAAGGTTTATTAATGCTGGTAGAAAAGTGTATTTGATGTTATACAGATGGCATAAGATGTTGTGGTTACTAAGTTATTATCCCGGATAAGCTGTACTGTCAAATTCAGGGCTTAAAACTATCACAGGAGATTAAACTATTTACTAAAAAGGACAGAAAGATATGGCCAAAGCGTCTTAGTACAAACATATTAGAAGTGTATTTACCTCCCACAAATACAATGCAGCATATCTGTCTCATAGACCGAGAGCCGGAAGATAGGAACTTTGCATGTAGAACAAACAGACAGAAGAGGTGATTTTAAAATATATTTTTATTGATTTCAGAGAGGAAGGGAGAGGGAGAGAGAGATAGGAACATCAACGATGAAAGAGAATCATTGATGGGCTGCCTCCTGCAGGCCCCCCACTGGGGATAGAGCCCACCACCCGGGTGTGTGCCCTGACCCGGAATCAACCGTGACCTCCTGGTTCATAGATCAGCGCTCAACCACTGAGCCAGGCCGGCCGGGCTTCATTCTCTAAATCCGGGGCAAGCGGTGAGCCCAGCTACTGTGTGTGGCCCACACCTGAGTGGCAGCTGTCGGGGAGGTGAAGGCAGTGAAAACGGGGAGTTTGAGTAAATCCCCGGGGAAGTAACTGGCTACCACACACGTCAGGGATCCTGCTCCCATATTCAAGGACGCCTCCTGCTTTGCCAGCCTGAAGGACAAAGAGTAGAGAAGTCGTTCAAAAGTTAAACGTGAATTGACGGATGATGGCGAGAACGCCAGAAAGAGACTCATTTGACCCACTTAGGAACATGACAAGCGTGTTCTTCCCAGCATCTGGCAGTGCTCCTGACTGACGATGCCGTGAAAAACCCGCCTGAGCAGGCACCTTGCAGAATATGCAGACACACGGGCACGTGGGCCTCAAACACAAAACAAGAAAACCTTAGCCGAAGGTGTCCCCACAAGAAATGCTGTGAGGAGGGTAGTTTTAAGTCTTTTACTCAGTATCACCTTTCTTCTGAAGATTTTACTGTAGAACTTAAACCGTGAGCGGCCATCCTGGCAGCTGCTACCCAAAGGCCCCGAGTGAATCGTGGTTTGCACATCTGCCTCCCCCCAGCTGCCTCCCCACAATTTAACAAAGCTTTTCAGGTTCAAGTAACCCAGGGTAAAATGTTACTTCCATGTCAATCTAGTTTTCCAATAAGAATTCTCTCCGGGCCTGGTTATTTTTCCACTTTTCTCATGTTAGGTTAATATTGTGATTTGGGGGTTGGAGGGAGGAAACCTGTTGTACCTTTTCATAAAGGCAAGTATTAATGCTTTCAATGATGGATTGCGAGTGAGAATTCTGCAAACTAGGAAAGAAGATTTAAAGCTAAACTTTAAAAAACACCTGACCGGTTTAGCCAATACATTTAGTATTTGGAACCTCTGATTTCTATTAGCCTTACTTTGTTTAAGCCCAGAAACATGAAGCTCACTAGTGGGGCTGCTCTGAAAAGTCCGCCTAAGAATCGAACATTAACCAAAGCAAATCAGAAAGCGAGGTTTAAAATCAGATATACTTACATAAAAGCTTGCATTTAAAATGATCCCTTAAAAGCCCCACATGGCTCAGCTATAACAGCAAACTGCTTAAAGGTTGTTTTTTTTTCTGTTTCCTATGTATACCAGGGAGCCGAGATAGAAGTGGATGAAAATGGCACATTGGACTTGAGCATGAAAAAAAATCGACCCCCGGACAAAGCTGCACCCCTAACTTCCTCAAACACGTCTATTCCGACTCCTTCCTCTTCCCCATTCAAAACAAGCAGCATTTTGGTCAATGCAGCGTTCTACCAGGCTCTGTGTGTCCAAGAGGGCTGGGATGCTCCTATCAACTATAGCAAAGCTCATGGGAAGACAGAGGAGGAGAAAGAGGTATTGCTTCAGTATGTCCATACGTTTAAGATTGAAGGGCATGATGGAAGGGTATTATTGGCTTTTTTCCCTAAATTATTTTTGCACAGTCCTGTTTAGATGATACATCATTCTGTACCTTGTTTTAGGTTTTGGTAGAGTGTTAACTTAGAATTTCAGAGGAAATTTATAAATAAATCCAACTTTTCCTGTTACTTGCCTAAAATAATATTAAAAAAAATTTTTTTTTTGTTAATCATCACCCGAGGATATTTTTCCATTGATTTTGAGAGAGTGGAAGGGCGAGGGAGAGACACACAGAGAGAAACATCAATTTGAGAGAGACACATCGATTGGTTGCCTCCCACATTGGAGATGGAGCCTGCAACCAGGTATGTGCCCTTGACCAAATTCGAACCTGAGACCCTTCAGTCCACAGGCCAATGCTCTATCCACGGAGCCAAACCAGCTAGGGCTATTGTTGTGAATTTTATCTCCATTATGGCTACAATTGTGTGAACTGGGTGAGAGATTATATTATCTATGCCTTCAGATACAGCCGCCTGTATTATGAATTCTTTCTGAGCCAGGAAATAGAAAATGAAACCAATTCAGGGACAAATAGGAATCATGTCAAATGTATTTCCTTGGTTTTGTGAAGGAACTGTGTTAGCAAAACAATGTGCAGTCGGCCTTGCAGAGTCACCCAACTCCAGATGGAAAATATTCAGAAAAAAGTTACGTTGTTGCTGACATGTGCTATGTAGTTAAACCAATGATTGAATGTGTGCTGAACACAGAGAGACATTTTTTCCTTGTCATTACTCCCTAAACAATATAGTATCACCACTATGTACATTGCACTTATATTGTGTAAGGTATGATAAGTAATCTAGAGATGAAGTATACAGGAGGATGTGTGTAGGTTACATGCAAATACCTCAAGTGTCCATGGATTTTGGTATTTGAGGGGGTCCTGGAACCAATACCTGAGGACCCCGAGGGACAGCTGTATGGAGTCATTGGGTCACACGCTGGGTGACTGAGTTGTCTCAATCCCAAAGTCAAGAAGATGCATTCACGTACTTGGTTATCTTAGAGGCGCTTTTACTCCTGGGAGCCAGATGTCCTGACTGTGCAGGAGTTCCCGTAGCCTTCATCTCCCTCGTCTGAGCCACCTGGCTTGGCTAATTAGCATGACTTAGCGTCGTTCAAAAGAATTCATGGCCGGACCCCTCTGTGGTTTAGACTCTATATCACTGCAAATGTGACCCTAATTGTTACAGTAAGTGATTCTCGTTTGCTTGTTTGTCGGGAAAGTTATAGATACTTACATTTACATGTTTAAAGAACCGAAGTAGCCATTCACTTTGGAAGTGTGCACCACCTTTTTCAGGTTTTTGAAGTCCAGAGACTTTAGGGGAAGAGTAATTTCATTTTAGCATATGCTTGAACATCTCAGAGCATAAGTCAACGTAAACAGTAGTGATCTCAGATGGGGTTGTTTGCAATCCCTCTCTACCCTCTCTCCTCCTCTCCCTCCCTTCCTCCCTCTTTCCTTCCCTCCCTCCCTGCCTCCCTCCCTCCCTCTCTCCCTCTCTCCTTCTCTCCCTCCCTCTCTCTCTCCTTCTCTCCCTTCCTCCCTGAAGCACATGTTCACGGGCAGTATTATCTCTGTGTCCAGTCAGTAAGGTAGGCCCAGGACCATTCTCCCACCACACATGTGCTCAATCTAGCAGGACTGACATAACAAATCCCGCTGATAAATGGAAGGAGCAGGCACACAAAGTAGAAAGGAAAGGCCAACCCTATGTGTCCTGGCTGGGGACGGGTTCCTGGGAGTCCTGAGGACCCAAGGCATGCTCTGTGTCACCAGCACACACAGCATCCCGGGAGTGGAGAGGGAAATTGATACAGCAGCTGCTTCCGATGAGATTCTGTCATGCTGGACGTAGTCACTTTATTATGCCTGGCTTTTAAAAACGTATCTAGAGTGTTGAGGGATGGTCTTAGTTCATCTATCCTAATTGTATTTTAGAAGAACAGTTTCTTAAAATAATATATATTTGACTTTAATAAATATAAAACCGACATATACAAAGTATAAAAAGCTGGTTTACCGTAAGCGATGACCACAAACTGACAAACATGTGTTCCCTCCTCCCACCACATTCCACCCACCCCCTACCCCCGCCACTTCAGGCTCCTGTCTATTTTTATAACCCAGAAATCTGCTGAAATTCATATTAACTGATCAAGCATAGTCATGATGAGATCAAGATTGTTGATTCAATCCCATTTCATACAAGTCAGCTTTAGAAAATGGGTGGGGGGGTACCCTCCAATTCCCCAGTCTTCTGAGTCTCCAACCAGTCGATTGCTGATGGGATTGTGGCCTATCCCCCCCCCCCCCCCCACTAATGGGAATCCTAGTCCACATCATAAGATCTGTTGCTGGGGGTTCAGTAAAAGTCGTATGTCACATGAAGGACAGTGCTTTGCAAAGTCAGCATAACTGCGTTCTAATTCTTGGATGGATCCAGCTGGGATAAAGCCCACCATGTGTGGAAGTGTCTCAAGGCCATGTGCAGGGGGGACTCAGGCTTTCTGGCCTCATCGTTGTGACCGTGCTGTAATGGGCCATGGTCAGTGTTTGCCGGACATCCTTCTATTCGTACAGAGTCAGACAAACGGATCCAGTCCCGAGTTAATGAAGCACATGTCAGACAAGTGGGCTCTCACATCCATTTAGGGTCTTGTGTTGGACATTGGTTATAATTCTGTGCCCTCCGCAACAATGCCAACGCCGTACCTTTTCTATGCTGAGAAACTCCTCCCATTTGGGGGTCTAATTAGCTCCTAAGGGACCTCCTTGGCTACACTTTATCACTCAGCCAGAGAGTGAGATCTTATAACAAATAGTTTATGTTTACTTTCCAAGCTCATTTTTTGCATAATTCCCCCAAAATATGGATTCACCTTGGCAGCTTTTATAATTCAATAGAAATATGTTCTTATCTAATGCTTATATATACTAGTATATGTGAGCATGTTTTATTTTCTGGCAAATTCATGGGGAAAAATGGATTTGTTTAGATTCTTTCTCTTTTCGAATGGCTTACTTACTCCAGATCTGCTAGTACAGACTTTTACTTCTACAGTTTGCAACCTAAATAATCTAAAATCTGGAATTTAGAAAGTATGTGGAGATTCAATGTCATTAGGAAGAACAAAAAGGAATTTGAAGATGCTAAGTGAGTTCTTAGAGTCAAAGTGCTTGCCTGGGTTTGAGTTGACAAAACAGTTTTTAAGCTAATGCTTATTACCGCAGTTATCTGACATGGGTGACCCCCTGCTTGGGGGAGCTACAGCCAGTGGGGACAGGCACGAGAAAGAGCGCTTCTGGATCACCTTAGCCCCCAGCACACGTTCTCACCTTTTGTTCTTTGTTCCTTCACCTGTGACAAGGTAATCAACTAATAGAGAGTATTGTTCACATCCTGTTCTGAATCTTGAAAATGAGAAGTGAGATACTTAATAGGTATTATTTTGAAAAAGTAGATGGCATTCAATGTCCTCCTTGGGAAGGTATCAGAGGGGTACCACGTTCAGTAAAAATAAAGATGAGGGATCTTTATCCTGAGATCTGTATATTGAGAAGCAGGGTTATTATCAATGTTTTTAGAGGAAAAAATTGAAGCTCAAGGAGGGAAAGGTGTTGATCCTTAGTCATGCAGAAATTAAGTAATGGGCTGGGCTTCCCTAATATGAAGAAAAGGGAGAAGAGAGAAAATAGAGAGAAACAAACAAACAAAAAAAAAAACACCAAAAAAAAAAAATGGAGACAACTAGGGAATATTGAAAAAAATTAGAAAGGAAAGAAAAAAGAGAATAACGAAGAAACAGCATGAGGCAAGGTTGGTGGAGGCAACCGTGGTCTACAGTGCTTCTCAGAATAGCAGGATCCAGAACTATAGGATGTGACCACACAAGTTACAGGGACTGGTCCACGCTTGTCATTTTCAATGAGCTTTACTGGCATGGCTGCACATGGCCCAGTGATATACTGAAGACTACCTTGTGGTCTGTTCCTGCTCCCATACCCCCATCCTTCCTGTTGCCACCTCCGTCACCTCCCCACCCCCCACCTCACATGACACACATACATCTACACACAGGCAACCAGAAATTGAGCGATTATTTCTAATTCATTGTTATCTAGCTCATATGCACAACAGTTGCTTAATTTTGGTGGCAATTTTCAGAAAATATTGTCTGTCTCTCTCAGTGAAATAGCCTGTCCAGATGCCCCCTAAAAAATTCCTGAATCTGGAAAAAACTCAAAATATCTCAGAAGGAAAGTGCTGAGAAATAACTACGGCTGTCAGTTTCATTCAACTGTCAGTTCTCCAACGATTTCAGGGCTTAAAATGTTAAAAGTGCCAGATGCTATTATCTGTTATTCATGTTACCATTATGTTCTGGTCTTTACTAAAATCCATATAAACATCCATCTGTACATTAAAGGAATCTCATTGCATCCAGGTCCTCTCTAAACACACACATATATGCCATGTTCTTTCTTACATAGCCATAGTATAAAAATATTAACTTCAAAACATTTAAAAATAATATTTTTATTTAATGATATTTTATATATAAAAAATTCTTATATATTCTTATAACTTATTTTTTTACTTAGTCCTGTTTAGGAATTTATCCAATATAAAATGCTTCTGTAACAAATGAAGAATTTTCTTAGTGATGGCCATCTGTATTTGAATATCCACGTTCTCTGCAAGTGTTTTAAGGCCAATATGCTGAGCAAAGAAAAGGAAGAAAACAATTATTTATAATGAAACTAGTGGCCCAGTGCACGAGATTTGTGCATGTGGGGGGAGGGTCCCTCAGCCCGGCCTGCACAGTCTTGCAGTCAAGGAGCCCTTGGGGGATGTCCGACTGATGGCTTAGACCAGTCCCCCTGGAGAGCGGGCCTAAGCCATCAGTTGGACATCCTTAGCGCTGCTGCGGAGGCGGGAGAGGCTCCCACCACCACCGCTGCTCTCACCAGCCGTGAGCCCAGTTTCTGGCTGAATGGTGCTCCTCCTGTGAGAATGCACTGACCACCAGGGGGCAGCTCCTGTGTTGAGCATCTGCCCCCTGGTGGTCAGTGTGCTTCATAGCGACTGGTCGTTCCACCATTCGGTTGATTTGCATATTAGCTTTTTATTATGTGGGATTTCATACATAAGAGTCCACAGTTTTTAAAAGAAGTTACAAAATATTTTTTAAAAGTCATACCCAATAAAATTGTCTTATTAAAGCATTACCACATATTACTATACCAAATGAAATATCATATATTCTGCAAGCATTATTTCATATGCATTTTAGTCAAACAACTTAAACTTTCATAACTGGTCATTTCTTTCAAAGGCCCCTATATCCTTGCTTTCTATAATGCACAGATTCAGCAGTAGAACAACGAATAACCTTTACATGTTCATCTATCACTGTTCATACCTTCTTAGAGATTCTTTGTTCTTTATCATAAAAAAACAATAAGATGGCTTTTTAGTTTATGCCATTTTTGTGAACTTTAATATCTATACAGAAAAACAAAGACTGTTCTACATTGAGACTTAATACTGAACTTAACATTTGTATCTGCTTTCCAAAAGCCAAGACATTTATAAATTGTAGTAGAAAATACTAGCTAGGCTGAATCCAGATAACGCTAAATGGAATGGATGGTGGTATTATTAGGTTTTATATCTTATAATTAGGACTTGCTTCACTTTAGGCATCCACATTATAAAACTTGAAAAGTATACTAATAAGCATCATTCATCTATTTTGCTTCCATGAAAGCAGCCACTAAAATAGCACTTCTCTTTGTATCTGAGTAGGCAAGTATTATCAAGTACCTATTTCTCTTTAATTTTCAAGGGTTTATTATTCTCTGCTGCTATTTTCAAACATTTATCAATAAAATAAGATGGGGCCTGACGGGTTTGGCTCAGTGGATAGAGCATCGGCCTGTGGACTGAAGGGTCCCGGCTTCAAGTCCAGTCAGAGCACATGCCCAGGTTGCGGGCTCGATCCCCAGTGTGGGGTGTGCTGGAGGCAGCCGATCAGTGATTCTCTCTCATCATTGATGTTTCTCTCTCTCTCTCTCTCTTTTACTCTCTGAAATCAATAAAAATATATTAAAAATAAAATAAAATAAAATGGAACACTTAACACTATAAATAATATATAGAAAAATTATATCAAAACAGGTTTTATGAATTTGATCTGATGATAATATAACTTGAGATAGTTTACCAATGTATTTACACTATATGGTCTTGTGTAAAATAATTGATTGAATTGTTATCTAAGCAATTAATGAAAGAAATTGCATTTGCCTTTATAACTGAGATCAAGGTTTAGTATTTTTCTTTAGTTGGAAATATTCAGGTATTTTGTTTTTCCATTGCTTTTTAATGTAGACTAAGGTTATTAAACTTGTATTTTACCATTGCATTTTTATATCCACTTGATTTAAATGAGATTTACCTAATAATTTAAAATTGTTTTATCACCTTATTTAGATCAGTACTTTTGAGAATTAGAATACAGTTTTCTATATTAGTTCATCTTAATTTAATATTAAATCCAGAAAATATTTACCAGATATAAACTAAATGATAAACTAATTATGCGATGAGGAAAAGGATCATTAGTTTCCTGTAACATAATATATCAGATGGTAAATAAGTGATTTGAAAGGATTAATGAGTCTTATGAAATAAAGGTCAGTCTTAAGCTTAAAAGAAGGCCATGAAAATTAGTGATAACTCAACAAGAAATTCCATTCAATAAGTAAAAGCATAGCAATTTAGCAAAAAAACCACAAAAAACATAACTAAGGTAACTTAAGAAAAAACAGGAAGTGCTGCAATAATTAAAGCGATGATCCAGAAAAATCAAACTAAATACCTAAATATTGTAGACTTGGTTATTATTTATTTATTTATTTGTTAATCCTCACCCGAGGATATTTTTTCCATTGATTTTTAGGGAACGTAGGAGAGGGAAAGATAGAGAGAAACATTGATGTGAAAGAACACATCGATTGGTTGCCTTCTGCACAAACCCCAACCAGGGCCTGACTGGTTGGAACCTGCAACTGAGGTATGTGCCCTTGACTGGAATTGAACCCGGGACCCTTTGGTCCGAAGGCCAACACTCTATCCACTGAGCCAAACCAACTAGGGCAGTTATTATACATTTAAACAAATAATTTAAATCTTAGTTATTTGTATATTAGAAAGAACATTCTGTTAACTTAAATTTACTTATTCCTTTTTAGATTTAAACTTTTTGTGATTTACTTTTGCAATATTTCTTCTGTTTTACCAATGACTTCTGTGTACATAAAGAACTAGCCCTATGTTCTCTAGGCAATGTTCATCATACAATAAAACCTGAACTCTATTAGAATAGTAACTTAATTATTTGGCTCAACAAATGCCTCTGTAATTATATTTGCCAAAATGTGAAAATTTTAAAGGTATCCCCATGAATTATAATTCCTCATTCCTCATTATCTTATTTATTTTGTGCACAAACCCTAGAGGAATTTCAGCTAAGTCTTTAAGCCAAAACTCACATTGGACCCTGAGGACTTCAAATACAGCTCTCTTTCTAGGGTTCCCTAATGCCCTCTGTGCTTCTGTTTTTTGTCTTTTTTTTTTCTCCAGAAAGACCCAGTGAACTCTCTAGAAAATTTAGAGGAAAAGAAGTTTCCTGGAGAGGCCTCCATGCCAAGCCCTAAACCCAAGCTCCATGCAAGAGATCTCAAAAAAGAACTAATCACGTAAGTGATCCAACATGGCATTCTCTGCGAGACTCTGGAAATAAGGTACTCAAGGTCGTATATTTTGAGTAATAATATCTCGGCTTATATAGTTGATTTTAGGAATGTTTTAGGGCAATTTCCACCATCCAATAGTTAGATATTCTACATGGACCTAAACAGATGCACAGAACTAAGAGGATTATGAAGAAAAAAGAAACACCAACAACCAAAAAAAACAACCACCCATTTACATGGCATGATCTTATGCTAAAAGAATTAAAAGTCTAACTGTTTAAAAACAACAACATAAAGCCAATAGAAATGTTTATGTTTTGATCAGAAATTCTTAATCTGATATCCATCGACTCCAAAAAACCCAATTCAGGACTTCAGGTGTCTACAAACCTTTTTGAACTTAATGCAAATTGCTATTTGGGTGAGACAGTTCATCGTTTTCATCACATTCTCAAAGGACAGAAAAATGAAGTGTGAATATTTTTTAATGGGTACTTTTTACTGGTACAAAAGTAAACAAACGAGGAAGGGTTTTTTAAAAGACGTTGAACAATTTTTGGAATATATTTATGAATTCCTAGAAAATGATCTCTAGGGACCTCATGGGACTCACCACACTTTACACACAGGTGAGTGCTTTAGCGGATACCCCTTATGTTTATGGGTTGACATTCTGGTTTTGTGAAAGTCTCACTACTTTACAGTTCCATCCTGTCCTTCTTATGTTTTATGTTCCTAACACATAAATAAATGTACCTCAATCACTTCCCAAAAGTTGTTTGAAATAGGATTTTTTTGATGTTGTTGATTAGCATAAATTTGCTTAGAGTTGGAATGCCACTTATTGAGGGAACTAGCTAGTATCCTCTCTCTAATTTTGATCCTTCCACTTGCAAACCTTCTCAGCAAACTGGCAAATGTTATTGTGTAGGATTTTTCAATGAAGATTTGTAGTTAAAGCCAGCTGTCAGAATCTGAAACATAAGGGTTCCCACTATAACACTGCCCCCAATTCTTTATTTTTGTTTAACCTCTTCATACCACCAAACATGAAAATTAATCAGTAGATAAGTGCACAATTTATTATTATATTTACTAAGTATTTATAGCTGACTTGTTTAAAAATTATTAGTACGTCTTTACCTATCCTCGGCAGTATTAACAGTGGTAATTTAAAAATAGAAATAAGAAATAAAGTAAATGCAATGCTGTTTTGAACACTAGGTGGCGATGTATTTCCAAAGTGGGAATTAACAGATCATTATAACACGTCTTTCACTCTCTGTTTATATGATTTGTATAATGTTCAGAAAAGATTACTTCTCCATTTGGGGGAAGAATGTCATTTGCAAGATAACTCAGCTCAAATGTTAGTCATTGTTTATTTTTTCTTTACTTGTTTACATATGCTATAGCTGGACACAGAATTGCTCAGAATAATGCACCTGTTAGCTTATTTTCAAAACACACAGAAGAGGCCCAGAATGTGACTAGCTTCTGAGATAAAATCAAGTCTCTGATCTTGCCAGATGCCCTATTATTTAGGTTTATTTTTAATTAGCAATTGCTTTGTTGGGTTTGAGACTTGAATAAAAGTGATTGCAAGCTTTTTAACTAAACTTCTTGCCTATTTCTGAACTGTCAGCAACTTTGTCAACTATTAATGTCAGTTTACATTTCAGTCACATGTAGTATTTTCCAAAGATTTTTTTCTTTTTCAGATGATTTAAAAAAATGTTTATGAAATTACTATGTTGCCTGATCTCTTAAAAACTAACAAAAATTCCTTTCTGAAATCTGTTATATAATTGATGATGGTATTCTTAAGAGACACTATCATTGCAAAGCATGGGTTTACAATATTTATTTTTATAACCCACATTTTCAAAGAAATAAAACGTTATTGATTGTTGACTCACCTCATCACTAGAACATATATTTTAGCATCACTTTCCTACATTATTTGAATCGGAGAATTGGATGTGATGCTGAGAGCTGATAAGAGCATGCCAGTTTTCTTTTCGCTAGTCCACTCGTTCTTCTGTAGCATAGATCCTTAGTTCACTAGCTTCTGCAGGTTCTATACTGAGTAACTGACGTTGAAAAGAGAAGCAACGTTATAACAAACCAGACAAAGCAAGTGAAGCAATAAAATGCACTTGACGCTAATTATATATATTTTTTGGTCCAGCTGTCCAACGCCCGGATGTGATGGAAGTGGCCACGTCACCGGAAACTATGCATCCCACCGCAGGTACCTCGTTTTATCATCTGGTTCTGATTTAAATACTAATTCTCACCCATTCTAGAACGATATCTTGATCATGAATTAGAGCGTAAGTTAGTTGGTTTGTGTGTGTGTGTGTGTGTGGGGGGGGGGGGTTGTGGTTGTGGTGGTGGTGGTTTGTTTTTCATAAATAAAGCTAAGTTAAATCTTTAGTTTTTTCACTTATGTAGTATAGATATCGTGATTTTGGTTAAAAATGGTTTTCTGCTCCTGTAGTCCAGGCTACAAAGTGAGAGCTTATGTCAGGGCTTTGGTTGTATCTAGCTTTAGGATTCAGGTAAAACAAAGGTAAGACAATAGAGTGACTGGGGTTGACCACTTAGCTGTGGATGTGGCATCCCCAGTCCTGGTGTTAAAGGTGAAACAGTGACAAAAGGCTCTGCTTAATCTTTGCGCTCACCTTCTTCATTGATTTGCTTACCCTTTGGGTGCTGATTTGAACCTGTCAGCCACCATCCTTTGGTGATGCCGTGGGCATGGACTCCTTGTCAGTAATGGTTCTATCACTGAATTCTAGAATTGTGGAGTATCACTGGGTTAAAGCCCTTCATTTGATAAATAGCAAACCCAACTCTTATCAGAAATAATTGAGGAGTCCATGAGCCCAACCTGGCTAGAGTAACAAAGCCAGATTCAAACCTAATTATTTTTTTTCCCCAATCCCCAGTCACCAGAAAATTTAACAGATATTCACAGTCTCAGGATGCCATTTGAGTCAGATTTGTGTATGTCAGTGTTCTGTGTTTTGTTTTTGTTTTTCTCACCCCTTTTTAGTGTTTCTGGATGTCCTTTAGCCGATAAGACGCTTAAGTCCCTCATGGCTGCTAACTCTCAGGAGCTTAAGTAAGTGTGGGAAGCGTGACCTCCATGCCCTGTGCCCGCTGTGCTGGGACTCTGCTCACTCAGGACCAGTGTGGTCACTAACAAGTAGTGAATTGTGTCTCCGTGAATTATAACCAGCACACTCTTTCACCAAAATGTTCAAGTGACTAAACCCAAATCACTTTAAGCTAATTATTTTGCTTGCTTTGGGAGTTTTGATTTTTATAGTAATTTTTAAAGCAGTGATGTAATAGTATAAGAATACTTTTTTTCCCCTGTTAACTTCAGAATTCGATGAGAGAGAAACATCGATCAGCTGCCTCCTGCACATCTCCTACGGGGGATGTGCCCGCAACCCAGGTACATGCCCTTAACCGGAATCGAACCTGGGACCTTTCAGTCCGCAGGCCGATGCTCTATCCACTGAGCCAAACCGGTTTCGGCGGGAGTTTTGATTTTTATAGTAATTTTTAAAGCAGTGATGTAATAGTATAAGAATACTTTTTTCCCCTGTTAACTTCAGAATTTATATAATAAATCAGACTTCTGAAGGTGTGGCAAACAATTTCCATCATCTGATTTTAAGAAAGCTGCATCATATTTTCTTTGTGGGCCTTTTGAATCATCTGACTGCCTTTCACTTTTGGGTGCTAGACACATTTGGCTCATTTTTACCTAGTTTAAAAAATCTCAAAGTCATATTAACTTTTACTTATTGATTTTATTTTCGCCATTCTTATCTTCTTTTTTAAAAAAAATATTTTTATTGATTTCAGAGAGGAAGGGAGAGGGAGAGAGAGATAGAAACATCAATTATGAGAGAATCATTGATTGGCTGCCTCCTGCACGCCCCTTACTGGGGATGGAGCTCGAAACCCGGGGAATGTGCCCTGACTGGGAGTCAATTAGTGACCTCCTGGCTCATAGGTCAACGCTCAACCACTGAGCCACTCTGGCCAGACTCTTATCTTCTTTTATTCCAAAGTTCTCACTTGTTTATTTTCACATCTTATTATATTACATGTAGAATAATTAAAAGTAATGATCCACCTATACCCTTTAAAAATATATTTTCATATCTTATTATATTACATGTAGAATAATTAAAAGTAATGATCCACCTATACCCTTTAAAAATATAATAGGGCATATATTTTTAAAAGACAAAGGAATAATATTAAACAAAATTAATGAACTTTACTTGAAAATAATAATATTTTAGGAAAAATGAGTGTTATTAAGTTTAATGATAAAACACTATTTATAAATAGTAAAATCAACATTTGGTATCTAAACCACAGGCAAAATTTCATATATTAAATGTTTTTAATTTTTGTTAGTATTTCCATTTTCTAATTTGTTCTAAAATTTTATCTAAAAATTACAGAAAATAAGTCTGCGAAAAGAGATGGAATATTAAATAGATATAACATTCAGAATTTTAGTACCAGAAACAGTATAGGGAACTATACAATATACAATTTTTCTCATTTTCAAAGTGTAAACTACAATCAATTGTGTTGGTGTAGATTCTGGAAATTGTTTTATTGACTGCCACTTTCGCAGACTGAAACATAAGAATGCTAACTAAAAACTAATAAGAGATTGAAAAGAGAGAAGTGCCAGGCATACTTACTCTTATTTCATCTTACTCAGTACTTAATTATTCAATCTTATAGAATTGCTCTAAACTTACACATTGCCATGTCTTCATAGTAATTGTCGGTTCTCTTAAGTATTTTCTCTAAACATTATTTCTAGGGAAAAAATGTTGGTAGTACATTTAAAACATGTAGGTTGACAGGTCTTATAGCAATCTCCAGTACTTAGGTCTTATACAGTCATCTAATAAGTGACAATTTTGGATTTTTTCTGTACATAGAGGAAAAAGAGACATTTCATTGACTTCTTTTTTAGAGACTCAAGAAGAACTCCAAAGCAAGGTCACGTGACACAGATTTTTCTATAATTGCAATATGCTACTAAGCCAGTAAAATATTAATAGAAAAAGACTGGCATTTAACCCTTTCCTACAAAATAGCATACATGTTATATTTGAAAATGGCTGATTAGAGATTCAATGCATAAATATGATTTCACTCATATGCAGGCTATACAACTGAAAACAACAAGTGAACAAACAAGACAAACAAACAAAAATTTATAGACACAGACAACAATAAGGTGGCTACCAGAAGGAAGGGAGGGAGGGAAGGGGAAGAAGGGACAAATATATGGTGATGGGAGGAGATTTGACTTTGGGTGGTAAACACACAATGCAATATACAGATGATGCATTATAGAATTGTACACTTGAAACCAATATAACTTTATTAAACAAGGTCATCCCAATAAATTTAATTTTAAAAAATAAGTAAAAAATAAAAGACTCAATGCAGGTTTCTCTGGTTGGCTTAAAGAGATGGATGCTGATTTTATATTTCATTTGGAAAAAGCATTTACTCCTATTTTCTGCCTCAGGATTGAATATAAAAACATTTTTTATGAAAGTTCAGTGGGTTCAAGTTTAAGAAAAGGGGAAGTGTTCACATTTTCCTTTTGGTTATTATTTTTCTCAAACTTGTGTTTGGGTAGAAATCTGAACCATTGTGAGCATATAACCAAAATAATAAAGATAATTTCTTCAAGAAAATTTAAAAAATCAAGCATTTTACATCAGTCTGTGTGTATCAGTATTTGGGATTTTTAAAAAGGCAAAAGGGAGAGAAGCAGTATAAACTGTATTCAAGTGTATTTTAAAACCTAATTCTATTTTATTTTTTTTTTTAAAAATATATTTTATTGATTTTTTACAGAGAGGAAGGGAGAGAGATAGAGAGTTAGAAACATCGATGGGAGAGAAACATCGATCAGCTGCCTCCTGCACACTCCCACTGGGGGATGTGCCCGCAACTCAGGTACATGCCCTTGACCGGAATCGAACCTGGGACCTTTCAGTCCGCAGGCCGACGCTCTATCTACTGAGCCAAACCGGTTTTGGCAAAACCTAATTCTAATTAGCCTTCCAAGCAGAATTGGGTTTTTCCTCCTCTTTCACCCTCCTCATTCCAAATTTAATGGTTGACTGTCAATAATAGTTATTGGTAGATTTTCCAAAAGGCCATTTAAGTTGGACCATGAGCGGAACAGACCAGGTGCAAATGACTTTGCTCCTTTGGCAACCATATTAATGTGCCAAGTCTCTGGAATTCGCATAGAACACTGTTGTTCACCTGAACTCCATGGATTATTGTGGCAGTGGAGCATATCACAGAAAATAAATTATGCTCTGAAACAATTTGGAAAACTGTTTTTCTTAAGTGAAAGATAAGAACTTTGCATGATGTAGACAGAAGCCCAGCAGTAAGTTGTGGATCAAATTTTAGGTTCCTTCTCAAACAAGTTTTTAAGAAAAGAAAAGAAAAAAAAGAATGTAGGATAACTAATACAGTCTATCAAGCCTAACACAGGAGTCACATAGCTTAACAAATTTTTAAAATGGATTCTTAGCCAAAAACTAATTTTATTTAAGCAACGCGGGCCCCACCAAAAGCAGCTCATTCTGTTGAGTTCTGTTTGCATGTGTCATGATCCCGCTCCCTCCACCACAGCCACGTGGCCAGCGCTCTGTCCCTGTGTTTTCCAGGTGTCCGACCCCAGGTTGTGATGGTTCGGGGCACGTGACTGGAAACTATGCTTCCCACAGAAGGTAGGATTGACCCATTTCTGAGAAATGAAATCAGTGTCAGCAGCAGTGGCCATGGAGCTGACATGGTCTGGTTTTGTTCTCTGTTGGGTCCATATTTTAGTTTGTCCGGCTGCCCTCGTGCCAGGAAAGGTGGTGTCAAAATGACTGCTACGAAGGAAGAGAAGGAAGACCCTGAGCTCAAGTAAGTGCGGCAGCCGAGGCAGCAGCAGCAGCAGGGCCAGAAGTAGCTTGTGGGTCAAATGGGCGGGACCTTCGTTGTGGTGCCAGTGGGCGCTGATTGCATCTCACACACAGGGGTCCTTGAGGCAGCGGTCAGTGTTCAGAAGTTTGAGAAAAATTTTCCATTCATAGCCATGTTTCCACAGATGATGTTACTATAAAGTTAGAAGGAGGGGACCGTACTTCTTCCAGTTGTTTTAAAGGAAAGAAGCCTTCTGCTAGCGCTACAGAACAGCAAATCGGCAGCACCCCCCCCCCCCCCCCAGCTTTAATTTTGCTTAAGGCGAACTTTTACCTAAAATCCCTCCTCTGAGACATATGCTACCAAGGCTAGGATGACATATAAAAATATAGATGTAGGAATTCAAAAAATTTTTTAATTGATTTCAGAGAGGAAGGGAGAGGGAGAGAGAGAGAGATAGAAACATCAATGATGAGAGAGAATCACTGATCGGCTGCCTTCTACATGCCCCACACTGTGGATCAAGCTCGTAACCTGGGGAATGTGCCCTGACCAGGAATCAAACCATGACCTCCCGGTTCATAGGTTGATGCTCAACCACTGAGCCACACCGGCTGGGCTAGATGTAGAATTTTAAATTGCTTGCTCTACAGCATTTCTAAGTATAATATTTAGGTATTTGGACACCAGAATTCCTGTTCTATGAGCAATGTGCTATGTAATATAGGACAAGGTAGCTAACATTTTGCACCCGTGGTCTTTGCCGGCAACAGGGTTCACCTGGTTGGTTAGGGCTAAAAAGTGTGGGTCTGAACTGGACTCCACTTCTTGTAAAATGGATGACAAGTTTCCGAAGCCTCATTTTTCCCACCTGTAAAATGGGATAATAACACTCTCTGCCCATTAGATTTGCAGTGAAGATGACAGGAGATAACGTGTGAAAATTGCTTAGCCCAGAGCCCACGGGCTATTAGTACTGCCAGAACCACGCTATTTTGCTAGTTGTATTGGCATCTTTTAAAGTCTATAATCTCACCATCTGCCTTCTGGATAGTGTGGAACCGCCACTACCTTCTTGTTCACTCAGTTACTGCATGTCATGTGAGTTGTCCATTCTCTCCCAGCTGGTAACATCTCTGCTGTGTCCCTCTAGATGTCCTGTGATAGGGTGTGACGGCCAAGGTCACATATCAGGTAAATACACATCCCATCGCACAGCTTCTGGCTGTCCCCTGGCTGCCAAGAGACAGAAGGAGAATCCTCTCCATGGGGCCCCCCTCTCCTGGAAACTGAACAAACAAGAACTTCCACACTGTCCCCTGCCAGGCTGCAATGGGCTGGGCCATGTAAATAATGTTTTTGTCACCCACAGAAGGTAACCTTTATTCTCTTTTTGTTGTGTTGTTGTGATTATTTGTCACCTGGGGGGCTTTGTGGGTGGGTGGAGCCCTCCTCAGGGTCACACGTTATAGCATTTTTAGATGTGATGACAATGAGTGTGGTCAGAGAGCTGACTAGTTTGAAGAATCAAACCTATTTTCCCTATTTCTGAAAATTTACTACACGATTTACAAGTGTTCTAGAAATGGTGCCTTTGTCTCTTGTATACTAAAATATTGCTTATGCTGCTATTTTTTTTAATGGTTCAGTCTTTTAAGGGTTCACTTTAGTTCCAAGAGGTAATATCTACTCTATTATGTTGTGTCATTGTAAACTTTCACTTCACATATTTATGCCATTCCCTGCCTCTCGCGAACTGGCGCAATTTCAGGCCAAATTGTAGTTATTTTTCTGCTGGGAAGATGTGACTCATCCCCAGCAGCCAGAAAGAAAATAACACAGTGACTACTAAGTGTGTGACAGGATGAGAGAGATTTAGAAAACCCTTTATGGTTTCACAATGACTTCATTCCTTTGTCACCGAGTGTCACGCATTTCAACAGAGTCCTTTGTGGGTACAGTGATCGCATGCTGCCTTGTGGTTCACATTCCACCTAACGGAAGATTCACTGCACACGCCTCCAATCAGCGAGGGCCCTTCTAGCCTTGCAGCCCGAGCATGGGGTGCGGGTTTCTTACCAAACGGAGCTTCAGTGAGTCTGATGCTTTGCTTCAGAGCAGAATGTGGATTGAGCAAAGCCGGGGCATTTTAACATTTCATTCCATTTTAAAGCTACATATCGATGGAATCAGAAAAGTGAAACCTTCCAGGAATTGCTGGTTTAAGTGGCTATGCAGTGACACCTGCTTATGGAGAAAACCTGGACTTGTTCAGTCATTTATTTTTTGATGGTTTTCAAATGCCTGGTCTCTTCCCCAATAGTACAAATGGTTTTATTCTGAGTTGGAATCGCCATCCCATAGTTTGAACTGACAGTGGCAAATTCCAGTGTGCCTAATGTCACCATTACTGCAGAGTAGCTTTACTTTCTTATCACGGACTGAGCAATAGACATGTTAACACTGATAAGGAAATGTTACTGCTATGCTATGATGAGCACAACCCTCCGTCAGCAACAACAGAGGTAGCTTTTTAAAAAATATTATTTTTATTGATTTCAGAGAGGAAGGGAGAGGGAGAGAGAGATATATAGAAACATCAATGATGAGAGAGAATCATTGATCAGTTGCCTTCTGCACGCCCCCTCTGGGGATCGAGCCCATAACCCAGGCATGTGCCCTTGACCAGAATCGAACCTGGGACCCTTCAGTCCGCAGGCCAACACTCTATCCACTGAGCCAAACCGGCTAAGGCAACAGAGGTAGCTTCAAAAGCCATGAAGAAGCTTTAGACGATGTCACCAAGGTGAGCTGAGGACCACAGGGATTCTCATACAGCTGCAGGTGGAAGAGGAGTGGGGAAAGCCACGCCAGGAAGTGAGTTGCCTTCAGGAGTCAAGTTGAGAAAGAGCAGACGCACAGGCCTGCTGCCCAGCCTCTGAGCCGCTGGGCTGATGCCCCAGAAGGTCTCCTGCATGGTGGAGCTCAGAGACACGTCTGAGAATGTCTGCGGTGGCATTGCTCTACTAACTCCAAGCTGGAAGCGACCTGCCTGCCCACTGGCTGCCGAGAGCATAGGGAATCAGTGTCTGTTTACAGGGACTGCCATGCAGTGGTGAAAATGAAGGCACAGCGCGGGGGACTTTCAGAACACAATGCCGAGTGGAAAAAAAATTACTGCTGGAGAATATGTTCAGTATGATTCTAATTACAAAGAGTTAAAAATGTAACAACATTACACTGTAAAAAGCTAGGTAATTATCCCCCCCCCAACTCCAGTTAATGGTTTTCTCTGGGGAACAGGAGACAGCAATCGTGGAGGGCTCAGGAGCTGCTGAGGTGCTAGTAAGGCACGCATGGGAAGGAAAACCGTGTTCATCTTAGGAGTGTTCCTTACACTGCAGACCTATTGTGTATGTGTCTGCACACATGATGTACTTCATGATATGAAAATCAAAATGATGAGTTCAAGAAAAACACACACAGGCTGCAAAATTAATGACCAGATAGTGTTTTTCTAGGAGAAGGAAAGTGATGAAGAATTTAGACAAATGAATAACTCAGATCTCACTGCTCTTCACTGGCGATCTCTCTTGTTCCTCACAAGATCCAAGAGATGGCATTTAATTTGTGTGATTCTCTTTAATGCAGAATGCTTTTCTTCCTCATATATGTGTATATGTGCATATTATTTTTTATATTATTTAATGGAATAATGTAACAAAAATGCCCAGCTTCTTCTGGCACACCCACAGGTGTTCTATACAGACTATCTCCTTCCTCTTTTATGAAAATTACATGCATATGATACAATAATTTTTTAAAGTAAGAACGACTTAAACTGGAATAGCACATTCTGACCTACCATAGACGTTTACATGCAATGTATTCTGAACCTAAAATCCAGGACTCTTTCCAATCACCAGTGATAGCTGATAGGCACCTACTCGAGGCTCTCTCTGTTCCGGCAGAAAGCACTGTGCTAAGTTTATTCTCTCAAACCTTCACAAATCCCTGCAAGCTACAGAGGTGTTGTAATGATCTTCCATGGACAGGAAAGGACATAAGCACAGGGAGTTGCCCCTGCAGACAGCATTGGGATGCCAGCCCCCTTGCATGAGCGCTGTGTCATCCATGTCCCTGTGTTTAATGAGTCCTCCCTTGTACCAGGCCACATGTGCATACAGTTTCCTCAGCCATCGTCTAAGATAAGTTTTCTAATTTTTCCCATTTTCCCATCAGGAAAATGGGGATAATTACAAAACTTGCCTTGTACAATAGTTAAACAATATCCAATCTCTGTGTTAAGTCAGCATTATATTTACACTAGAGGCCCGGTGCATGAAATTTGTGCACTTGGGGGGGGGGGCGTGTCCTTCAGCCCAGCCTGCACCCTCTCCAATCTGGGACCCCTCAGGGGATGTCTGACTGCCAGTTTAGGCCTGACAGCTGGACATCCCTCTCACAATCTTGGACTGCTGGCTCCCAACCATTCACCTGCCTGCCTGCCTGCCTGATTGCCCCTACCCGCTTCTGCCTGCCAGCCCGATCACCCCCTAACCACTCGCCTGCCAGCCTGATCAATGCCTAACTGCCCTCCCCTGCCAGCCTGGTCACCCCCAACGGCCCTCCCCTGCTGGCCTGGTTTCCCCTAACTGCCCTACCCTGCTGGCCATCTTGTGGCTGTGGGCACCACCATCTTTGAGGGTGGGGCAGTCAATTAGCATATGCCCTCCTTATTGGCTGTGGGCACCACCATCTTTGTGATGGCATGAGGGTCAATTAGCATATTCCCTCTTTATTAGATAGAATACCAATTGCTTTAAAAGCTTGCTTTAAATCTTTACATTATAAACTTCCATTTAAGAAATAGCAATATGACCCTGGCTGGTTTGCTCAATGGATAGAGCATTGGCCTGCAGACCAAAGGGTCCTGGGTTCTATTCTGGTACAAGGGCATGTACCTGGGTTGCAGGCTCCTCCCTGGCCTGGCCCTGGTCAGGGCTCGTACAGGAGGCAACCAGTCAATGTGTTTCTCTCACATCAATGTTTCTCTCTGTCTTTCCCCCTCTCTTCCACTCTCCCTAAGAATCAATGGAAAAATATCCTTGGGTGAGGTTTAACAACAACAACAAAAAAGAAATAATATTTAAAATCTTTTTTTCTTGAAATATTAATGTTAATTGCATGTAACATTATATTTAAAATCATTTTTCTCGAATTAAAAAAAGAAAGAAAAAAGAAATAGCAATCTGAAGACAAATATGATATTAAAATACAAAGACACAAACACACACGCACATGATTGTGGTTGTATGTCGCTTTTAAAACAGAATTTCTGTGACTAATAGAACTCAGTGCTATGCCATAACTTTGTAATTTTATGAGGTTCATTAGTCTATTAGAAACAGTGATGTCCACTACATAAATTTTATCACTTGCCATTTTATTTTAACAAGGCAGATGAAGATATGATAGTTTAAAATTGCCTTGATAGGCCTTAATAGAATTTCAAATTTGATCAAAACCATGTAAGGCACACTTTCCCAGCCATTTGCATTATGGAGCCCAAATCCTGGCAGGGACATATCCCAGCCAACCGCCCCCTTTCCTCAGCCAGCGACATGGAACCACATGGAGGGCGTCCTCAAAAGAGTAAGGACTTTTAAAATATTTTCCACCCCAACTTTTTAAATGTAGGATCTGCTTTATATTCTGAAAGGTAGAACTGCATTGGAAGAGACAAAATATCCAGCAGCTATTTGAAATCAAAGCCCCCCTTTCACATCTTAAATATACTCTTTGGTTCCAAGTCACGTAGTTGGGAACACTTCACGCACTTGCCACACCAGTGAGTTACAACTGGACATTTACTGCCGGGCTGGCCGAGCCACGCAGACGGAGAAGGCGAATGAGCTGTTAATGTCCATGACTTCACACACGGACTCTGACAGGTCACTTTAAAAACCGAACTTAGCAACAAGGTATTAGTCCTCTTCATGACCATTTTCTGAGAACAATATGTGCCATGAAACAAGACAGATTTGTGCAAACATTCCAGAAAAACAAATAAGGAAGCTTAAGTGGGCCACACTTTACAACGAGAAACTTCTACAATAGAAAAATCAGGTGCAAATTCAGTTTGTGCTTTTTCATTATTTTCTTTTTCTGTGTAAAATATTACATAATTTATCAAATTTTGGAAAATCACATGATCCTGTTTATGTATAATATTACATACTTTTATATTTTATATAATCTTTGCATACAATAATTTAGAATTCTTTAAAAATAACTCATTCAGCAAACATTTATTTTGCTTCAGAAGTCATATTTTTTCACTTGGCCAAGTGTCCTAATCTTTGGGTTGAAAATAATTGTCTCATACATGGATTATAATCACATTTCTGTGGGAAAATATTTTAAATGACTGTGATCATTTTTAATTTTATTTAAAAATTGTATCTTTAAAAATACAACAAAATTACAAAAGAATTAATAGGTGTTTAAAACAACAAATCATCTGATTATGTACCATGGAATACAAGCTTTGGTCAATGTTATTATCCTCTTGGTGCAATTTAAATACAACAGATACATTAACGAAAGGACTGCTGAGTAATGAAAATAAGGAACTGAGTATAAACACCACTATAGGATGATATGTTGCCTGGGCAATGATTGTGTCTGAATATATTTATGATGGTTCCTTTTATTTTCCTTTCAAGGTAGAGCTTTTTTTGAATAAAAAATAAAGGTTTAAAAGTTAAAGAATAAGTTAGAAACTTTCCCATACCCAACTGCCTGGGGAAGGAGGGTTATTATTTTGTAATAATTTGAATCATTCTGTATAGGTCAGGCTATATAGTTTATATAAAGATGGAAAGATCTAGATTCTGCTCTGTTATTCATGGAAGTTTGACTAATTTGGAACAATTCTTATTAATAATGTATGGACCATTTCACGTTTATAGGAAATAAAGTAACCACTACTAAAGAAAGGCACTTATATGTATGCAGAATAGAAATAATTTGATAACATTAATTAAATGATATCAGCAGTAGCTATTTGTATTTTTATTGAAAAAATCACACAAAACATTTTACATCTTTTTAGGGCATTTTGCTTTTATTTTTATATATATATTGTTACTTTCTACAAAGGGACTGCATGTTATAATGTCATTAATAGGCAGGCAAACACTTAAATAGTAAGTAGTGAATAAAAATTTTAATTTGTATATGAAATAATATGTTTCACACATCAGCATATTCCTATTTTCACAGCTTATCTGGGTGTCCTTTAAATGCACAAGCTATCAAAAAGGGCAAGGTCTCGGAAGAACTAATGACTATCAAGCTCAAAGCAACTGGAGGTAAGAGTTCATGGCCAGGGTCACCATCTCCATGGAGGCCCAGGTAGTAGTTCCTCACAGGGTTCTGCATGCCAAATTATGCTTTATTTGGGAATTGTAATGTTAATATACACTAAGGAAGCTTTTCTCACATTTGAACTAGAAGTATAATGTTTATCTCAAACATTATCATTATACTTGGTTTTTTCCTTACTTTAAAAAAAATATGTTTTTATTGATTTTAGAGAGAGAGGAAGGGAGAGGGATAGAGATAGAAAACTCGATGAGAAAGAAACATCAATCAGCTGCCTCCTGCACATCCCCTACTGGGGATCAAGCCCGAAACCTGGGCATGTGCCCTGACCCAGAATTGAACCGGTGACCTCTTGGTTCATGGGTCAACACTCAACCACTGAACTACACCAATCGAAAATGCCATTCCTTGAAAAGGAAGTTGACTCCAAGGAGACATAAAGAAAAAACACAATATATATAAAAGAAACATAGCAATAGAAGTTTTCATTTGCTCAAAATACTTGTTTAATTGAAAATCTATGCTCCATAAAGTTGTTGAAAACAAATATTTTAATCCCTGTTGCCTGTGAAAAGATTCCTCTACCAGCAAATCAGCCAATAAGATATGGTGCTGACGATGCAATACAGTTCTCCAGATGCAGCAGGCCAGTGCGGAATGAGCCCTGTGTCCCAGATAGTGCCGTTAGTGAGGTCATGGGTAATTGTTTAATCTTTTCTTAATGACTGCGTCATCCTGTTACTCATATTCAAGTTCATTTAGATACTAAAATACTGAGGTCTTAGTTGGTGAGTTTGCTTTTCTTCTTTGAATCTCAGAGCCCAGTATTAGGAATCTTATGACACACTCTCTGCATTGGTTCATGCATGGCCGATTTTGTTTAGGTAGTTAGTTACTTATAATAAAGCAATAAGTACCTAGAAAACAGCCACCTGATTTAGCATGCTGTATGTAAGTGTTCCAGGCTTATTTTTTTCTCTCGTAACATTATATTAGTAAGAGTCATCCATATTGTTTTTGGTGGGCATGTGGCTTGTTTCCAGGTCGTACCTTTGTAAACAATATGCTACGTACACCTTGTGCCCACCTCCTATCAGACATATGCAACTGTTTGTCTCTGGTGTGTACCTACGGCTGAAATTGCTGGTTCACAGAGTATGTAAAGTTCACCTAAAGCAGATAATGAACTGTGTTCCACAGCAGTAACCCCAGGAAAGTGCAAGAGCCTGGATCTCTTTCAAACAAATTGTCAAGTCCCCATCCTGCTCTCATGAAATTGATCTTATTACATCTAAAGTGAAAGTTTACATTTATCTCTCTTAATTGCCATCTGTTTGGTTTAGATTCATCACTATGGACTGTTGAGATTACCTTAAATCCTGCTTCTGGCATCCTTACTATTAACTACCCATCCCACCTTTTAAAAACCTTTCCAATCCATTCATATTCCTTCTATAAAACAGTGATGGGAAAGTGATGCCTGTTCATTGACCCTTTACTCTGTGTTCAGCACTTTATATATATTTTTGCATTAATTCTCACAACATAGATTTTATGCCTCTTTTACAGACAAGGAAGTGGAAGCACAAAGAAGTAAGTTCCCCAAGTTCAAGAACAAGAGTCACGGGCAAAGCACATGTTTCTTCTAGATTGCATTTGCTTGCCTTCACCCAGGCCCACGTAGAGAGCCCAAATTACATGTCCCTGGACTCGCACCCACCTGTCTGCACCCAGCTCTACCTGTGTAATGGTGCATTAATTAATCAGCATAACTTGGGTCTTAATAGCCTTTACAGGGTTGTGTATGAGAGGACCCATGACCTTTGGAATTCAGTCCCATCTCTGCCTCTGACTTTGGACTTGGGCAGGTTCTATCTCCTGTCGGTGATGAGCATGGCCTCACTTAGCTTAAGGCTCAACATCTGCATGTATGAGAAAGGTATAATGGAACACGACTCCTAGTGCGCAGTGAAGTTGAAATGAGAAAACATTTACAAACACCAACATGTCTTGCAGCACACCTGCAGCGTAATGGGCAAATTAAACGGTGGCACTTTTATACGCCCTTCTTTTTCTTACAAAGGATTTAAATCCTTCAACTCCTTTTACCTATCATTTTAGAATCTTGAACATGGATTTGGATACAAATTCAACATTTCAAACCACTCCACAAACCACAAACTAAATGTAAAGTGACTGAGATTTATCACAGTCTCGTAATTTCAGTGTGAACTAAGAGAGTCTGATTCTTTGCAGGTATAGAGAGTGATGAAGAAATTAGGCATTTGGATGAAGAAATAAAGGAATTGAATGAATCCAACCTTAAAATTGAAGCAGATATGATGAAACTTCAGACGCAGGTAAAGAACCAGAAAGGTATCTTCATGGTAATCATACTCTTTAGTGGAGGCAAAACATTGAACTGCTAAACCTTGTGATGAAAAAAAACACACCCACACACTGATATCTTATAATGAATATACTAAGCATGCCTAGATTACATAATTATTGTAAATACGTGAGTAGGTGGGTCACCTGGGCCATCATTGATTTGGTAGCCGAAGGCAAAGGTATTCATGTTTCTGCTTTGGGTGCATCAAAGGCTTTATAAGCAGGTCATCCTGTAATTGTAGAGTCCTTTAGAGCGCATGGTGCTTTAGAGAAATTGTATATGAGAAGATATGAGTACTTAGTTTTATTAAAAAATTCAAGTAAAACAGGGCAACTTTAATTTTTCTACAACACCTCTGAATGTGTCCATTTTTGTTAAAAACAGATCTTTCTGGAGATTTTCCTGCATAGCTTCTTTACCAAAAATTGCAAGCAATGTCTTTACTCTGCATTCTCCTTTGTAAATGTCTGCCCCATTCCTTACTAAATTTATCCAAATGGAAATTAAAAATGTAGTCCAGGATTTTTTTTAGCACACTAAATAATAACTCTATTGCAAAAAGTACAGTATCTTTCTCCCTTCTCTCCTCTCCTGCAATGTGCGATTTTTAGATCACTGTGGTTACTGATTCCCAGAAGTCATTGCCAGCAGTTTAAGACAGAAGGTTTAAGTCCATCTGAAATGTAGGTTTGGTTTCCTGACCCAGCATAATGTGAACAATGCCATGATCTTCCATTGAATCACGATCAGTCTATAAAAGAATTCGGTTTACAACTCCTCCTATAACTATTAGCAAAGACAGCAAAGGCGTCTGCCCTCATGGAGCTTCAAGTCTAGATGGGGGAGGCCTACAATAACATAAAAAATCATAAATAAATTGTTTGACCTGGCTGGCGTGGCTCAGTGGTTGAGCATTGTCCTATGAGCCAGGAGGTCATGGCTCCATTCTTGGTCAGGGCACATGCCTGGGCTGCAGGCTTGATCTCCAGTGTGGGGCATGCAGGAGGCAGCTGATCAATGATTCTCTCTCATCATTGATGTTTCTATCTCCCTCTCCCTCTCCCTTCCTCTCTGAAAGCAATAAAAAAAAATAAAGGAATCATTTGTATGAGGGAAGCAGGTAGGGAGAGGCAGCCAGATTTCAATATAAAACAGGAAAGCCAGGCTAGGCCTCAAGAAGAAGGAATCATTTTGGCAAAGACTTCAGCAACTGAGGGAGTTTGCCAAACAAGTACGGGGGGGAAAGTGTTTCAAAGAGTGAAAGCACCGTATAAAAACACTACCTCTAGAGAAAGCACAGAGTTTTGAGAACTAGCAGGTGAGTGATGTGGGAGATCAAAGGAGATGTGTCCTGAGGTAACACATGAGTGTCCTAGGACATTCTGAGGACTTGGTTTTTATTCTGAATGAACACAGAACATTTTGGGGTTTTGAGCCAAAAGTTAATGTGATCATATTTGACCTACATGCGATCTGCATTTTAAGAAACTTGTATTGGTAGCTGTGTTGAAGATGGACCAAAAGAATAGATTGCAGGGGGCAAAGCCACACTCAGGGCCACCATGAGAAGGCAGTCAGTCACTCTGGTGGCTGGGCCCAGGGGACAGCAGTGAAGATGGGGGACTGTCGGCCCATTCTGGATATTTTGAAGGAGGAGCCCAGTGGATTTAAAGTGTGAGAGAAAGAGAGCCATCAGGGATAACGTGAAGGCCTGAGCAACATTCTAGTTGCTACTAACTGGGAAGGAGAAGACTATAGTATACTAGTAGCCTTGCACACGAATCCATGTGCCAGTAGCTCTCTGCAGGAACTGGCCGCTCCACACCCGCTGCCCAGAGGCTCTACATGGCCCAGAGGCCCATCCGCAGCCGGGCGCGGAATGCTTGCCTTGTCGCCAGGGCGACAACGCAAGAGTGTCAACCCCCCCCCCCAACTCCCCCGTCCCCCGCCACTCCGTGCCCACTGCCCAGAAGCCCTCCGTGGCCGGGTGGAACGCTTGCCTCATCGCCACGGCGAGGAAGCCTCTTGTGGCTATGGGCTCTGCCATCTTTGTGATGGAGCGACGGTTAATTTGCATATTACCCTTTTATTAGATAGATGGAGCAGGCTTAGGGAAACACAGAGTTGAGATATCCATCATATAGCCATGTGGGGGAAGTCTGGGCTGAGGATATCAATTTGGGAATGCAATTTCAAACTTTAGAGCCGTCGATGGGGTTGCTGTTTTGTGAAGAGAAGTTACCGGGGAGGCATTCCTGGGCATTGAGGTTCAGCCAATGCATTTCCTTCCAAGAGAAACATTTTGTCCTCTTTCCAAACTCCACTTCTTTTATTTTCAAGTCATTTTCATTGCAGATCACATCTATGGAGAGCAATTTAAAGACAATAGAGGCGGAGAACAAACTTATAGAACAGAATAACGAAAGCCTGCTGAAGGAGCTGGCCGGTCTGAGCCAAGCTCTCATTTCAAGCCTTGCCGACATCCAGCTCCCGCAGATGGTAAGTCCAAGGCCAGGACGTGGCCGCCCCATTCCAAGGGTTTGCAGGGTCAGTGTCAGTCACCAGCAGGGCAGCCAGACAGAAGCACCGAGCTTTGAGGAGACCTGCCAGCAGTCACCGAGGCATCATGCTTCATTATGCAGGACTTGCAATGACCTCCTTCATTCGGAGATTCATACACTTAAATTACATGAAGGCCAAGGGTTTTGGATACTGTAGAAGTCACTTAAAGATGAAGGTTTATTTGAAAATTGTTTTACAATGTCATATGAAAGTTGGAGGCCAAAACTCTCTGGCTAAAATTGTTTCTCCAAATAAAAAGCTTGCGTGGCTTACAAAATCCGAGACACAGCCATTCGTGTCATCCACCCAATTTAAGAATCATAGAAAAGAATTTAACCAGATGGTTTCTTTGTACTAAGTATGAAGGCCATACTTACGTCATCTTCCTATAGAACAAAAAGCACAAAAGTGATATTTCCCAAATCTAAACACATATTTGAAGCATGGCAACTATTTAAAATTTATAGAAAATTAGTTTCCTTTACATTTTCATAAATATAATGAACATTTGAAAGGGGGGCTGCATTGTTGAATGCTTTTAATTTCCTCACTGTGTCCATTTTTAGAACAAGTTTTCTAATGCTGCAAATTTTATATATAGAATGTTTTAAAAAACAGCAATTTAATAAAGAAATCTAATTGATTTTCTGAAAACAATTAAGTCCCTCAATTTACCTAACTTTCCAGCATGGAGTCCTCATCTTAACCAATTCCAAATCTGCCTCTTGACAATTAAAAAACAAATCAATAATGTAATACTATAAAAGACAAAGAAAAATAAATGATTACTTTGTGGTCAGTATTGAGGTAATTATTGAACATGTTTTAATATTATTTATTAATGTTTAACTCATACTTCAAACATATTCCTTAATATTTTTTCCTTACCAGTGCCACTAAAATAATCATTACCATACAAGATAACTTGTACTTTGTATAGTTACCATATAAGGTATTCTAGTGGTGAGTTTTAGGGTTAATCACACTAAATTTTCACAAAAGCACTAAAGACATTCTCTTTCTGTAGTCGAGGAAGTAGAGACTCAGAAAATTTACATAATTTGATCAAGGCCCCAATGCTAGCATGAGTCGGCGGGCCTGGCTTTAGTGCGGGCTTTGTTCACTCTGCCACCTTTGTTCAGTTCTGTGACTCCAAGAAGCATGTGACACCACAAAAGCACAAGCTAAAAGGGAACAGAAAACCGCGGTTAAGACAACACTAATAATTTAGATCAGTACTTTGCTGAGCAAAAACAAATAATCTTCAAATATAGGAAGCTCACCTTCTAAATAGCAACAACAATATTCTTTACACCTAAAGTATTTAGACCTTGTAAAAGTCTTCTCTTCTAACCATCTTGTGAAGTAAGCAGGGCATATACATTTTTAAAAAGACGGGGAAGGGGGGGCACCAAAGAATGGTTGGGTAGGAGTGCTTTCTGTCATTTATTTCCTTGCACACGGCGTGCAACTTCTACATGTCAAGTGTCTGTTCTCTCTGAAGCACCACATTAGGCCAAGGAGATACCGAAACACACAAAAATATGAGATGAGCAGTTCCGACTTTGTGGACCTCACATTCTACCCGGAAAGACGGGTCGAGAAATAAAGCACATTACAATGAGGCTGCAAGGGGGCGGGGGGGGGGGTGTCTGAGAATGAAAGAGGAACATTTTCCACCAGACACCTGGTTAGGGACCAGCTTGCGCAAATCTCAGATTCCTTGAATCCAGCCCAGTGCTGTCAAAGGAAACATCTGGTACAAACAAGCCTTTCTCCCCAGCCTGGCTGACATTCCCCTTCCACACACAGGAGGTCTGCTTTGTGCTGAGCCCAAGCAGTGGAGGCTGAGACTGCATCCCAAGGTAGGGCAGCTTTGAGGGCCCACCTCAGCAGCCAGACAGCTATCTTACGCAGCTCCACATGGACCTCAAAAACACTGTCCAATCACACTAATCCCATAAATTGAGGAAAGAAGGAGCCGATGAATCCCAATGCGCACCTCCTCTCTCTCCATCTCCCCAAACTCCAGCAGCCCCAGGCATCCTTCCCTTCCTTCCCAGACTCAGAGTCCCTGATAGGCTTCGTGCCCTTTGGTCCTCCTTTTGCCTCATCCCGAATCCCTGTGATTGGTTCCATGTGTTTTGTCTCCATTCAGGGGCCTATCAGTGAGCAGAATTTCGAAGCGTATGTAAATACACTCACAGACATGTACAGCAACCTGGAACGGGACTATTCCCCAGAATGCAAAGCTCTGCTAGAAAGTATCAAACAGGCAGTGAAGGGCATCCACGTGTAGGAGCGCCTCGAGGTGAGCACCAGAAATCACCAACAGCAGTCACACCAGTGAACCGGGCGCCTGCGCTGCCGAGGCAAGCAGGCGGCCGCACTGCATTTACAATTGCAACATTGCACTAATTTCCTCCCCAGCTGACATAAAAAGGAAAGGAATAATAAAAAAAAAAACTATAATAGACTCTATGGATTAAAAGCGATGCTGTCAAATATTAGATGGTATTTATTTTCATATGTTTTTCTTTTATTTCCTCATTGCACTCGTTTGAATTTTTTTCTTTGTAAAGTATATGTAAAGTAATGTGACATTTTAATATTTTATTCATTTCTAATCAAAGAGTTTTTTATCTTTTACCTGCATTTTGAAGTCTGCCATATTTTTTACAAGTGTGTTTCTTTTCCAATAGAATTTAAATAGAAATGCTCGTCTCAATTCACATATCTTGCTGGGCTTAAATGAGAAAACAAACAAACAAAAACAAACAAACAAACAAGTCTGAAGGAAATCTTTGTCTAAGGACTGCACTATGCTCCCCTTTGATTTTTATTGCACTCTTTTCCCCCCTTTCACTGGCTTTCGCATTTATCAGTGGGCTTGTCCTAAGGTGAGACGCGTGGAAGGAAGAAGATAAATGGCGCCCACTAGTGGGCAATGCGCTCTCACAGAAGCACAGGTACTGAAAAAGCCTGTTCAGAATTTGTTAGCAATAATTAAATATAGAAATCAGCAAATTACTCGACTTGGCTGTATGGTTTCGGTAAACATGAATTATTTATCTGAAATGTTTTAAAGAAACGTAAGCTTTTTTTAGTGGTGCAGATTTGTCTGTTTGTTTTTCAAGTCATATCAGATAGTTGGCAACTCTTATCCCAAGACGAGAAATAAGACTTGATGTGACCAGCCAGGCTTCCCTGCCATATGCTGGTACAATATACAAGTGACAATATTGATGTAGATTTGTACTCAGCAAATACAAACACATCCAAATGGAAAATTTTGTAGATACCATATCCCCTGAAATAGCATTTATCTTGCTTGGTTGACTGAAAGGAATGGAAAACTATAGTAACACATGGAAAACTGTTACTCCGATCTGAGTCATTACTTTAGGCAACGATAAAACTTTCAATTTGATCGATAACTTTCTGTAGAACTACAAGTGCTACAGAGCAAACACACTCAACACACAGGCACACACCCACATATACACACTCACATACACTCAGACACACGTAAAATTGAGCCCGAAATCTTGAATTTCTGCATAGATCAGAGTTTAGTAGTTGCTATAGTAAAGGCAATGTCTATTTCAGGGATTGTAAAGTAGTTAAGCATTGTTTCAAAAGTTTTTTTATATTTATTTTTTTTAAGAAAAGGTATAGACAACCAGCTAAACTGCCTTTTTGGTGTGCACACACACCTCGTGTGCAATGTGCCTCCGTGTAAATGGACACTTGAATTTAGTGTGGGCTTAATTTCCTGTTCTATAACAAAAGTGTTTATTTTCTATTAGCCTCATGGATATGTAGATTGAATGTGATGGCTCTCACAGGCTTGATATATTCCACTGTTATTACTGTTACCTGCACAAATTAAGAGTAATATCAACAGTAATTCCACTTCCATGCCACTGTGGTCATTGTTATGTATTAAATGGGGCTTATCTTTGGTTTGGGGTTCATTTGAACTCTTGAATTTAGTTTAGTGAAAATGAGATGTCTGTTCTTAGGTAGGAATGGTGTTTATTTAAAAATCAATTTATAAAGAAAAAGAGCTACCATATGTGCTGTCTATTATAAATGGGACACCAAACAAAATTTTCTATTAAAGTTATGTACTTGCAAACAGTTTGCTCTAGAGTACTTGATAGATGCATACAAATGAGTTCACTTATTACAAAGACAAACCTTAATTTGCTAAATATTTTAACAACTTTGTTATATATTTTATTTAATTTAAAAGAAATTTCTTACCAGCCTATGTATTTATTACTATAATTTACTATGACTTCGGGTTAATAATTTATTTGTGTTTGCATAGTTTGAGCAGTATGTTTTATGAAGTATATTTGTATTTATTTGCCTCCTTTGTACTTGACGTGTTTTGTAATTTGCACTGAATTATTTTCCTTTCAACTATGTTGATCGATACTGTAAATTGGGTCTTTTGTAAACAACAAAAGGACAATGATGTATGCATTTTTTTAATTTCAAGTAGTTTGTATACTGTTTCTTCAAACAATTAATATTTCTTACATCAAAGCAACAAAATTGTGTTCAGTGCTGTACATTTGGTGTATGGTAGGAAATAAAAATTGATAATGAGTTTTGCTGTGATCTTTCTCAAGCTGCCATGTCGAGCAAGCATGTCAAACTCAAAGGCTAACACGGGCCAAGTAAACGAGGCATGCGGCCCGCGGGCCACGAGCTTGATGTGCTTGACGTAGAGAGTATTACCACCATCACACGGAAAGCATGGAGCTCGGCTGCGGTAACGTACCCCTGAGTCCTCCAGTGGTTCTGATGTATTTTGGTTCTGTCAACCCATCTGCTTGGTTTGTTTTTGCACCACAAGTAGGAAGGATTTTTGCCCATTGACAGGTCGTCACAGCCTTTGGTTCAGCACACACTACGGAAAAGTGGGCACCTTTGATGTAAGAAACACCTTTGCTAGCACTAGCAGGAAATGCACCTGGATCTAGTGAGCAAAAGAATATAGGCCTCACCCTCCTGATTCCAAAACTGCTGTGGGCATATCTGCATATTCATACAAGTTTGTTGAACTCAAGTTAAAGAAAACTAGTCGTCAATTCTTTTTTTAAAGTAGTTTTTGTTTGTTTGTTTTTTATTGATTTCGGAGAGAGGAAGGGAGAGGGAGAGAGAGAGAAAGATAGCAACATTAATGATGAGAGGGAATCAATGATCGGCTGCCTCCTGCACACTCCCTACTGGGGATTGAGCCTGCAAACCCGGCACGTGACTGGCCGGGAATCCAACTGTGACCTCCTGGTTCATAGGTTGATGCTCAACCACTGAGCAACAGTGGCTGGGCTAATTGTTAATTCTTGACAGCAATTCCTTTAATTATGTGTTTTTCTCATCTAATATCAGCTTAATTTAATTTTCCAGTTTCTGAAATAAGTCAGTCAGAAAGGTCAAGAACCGTATAATTTCACTCGCATATGGGATATAAAGAAAAAAGCAAAAAATGAACAAACAAAAAATGAGGTCATGGATACAGATGAAAGAATGGTGGTTACTGCTGTAACTGGTTTGGCTCAGTGGATAGAGCGTTGGCCTGTGGACTGAAGGGTCCCAGGTTCGATTCTGGTCAAGGGCATGTACCTTGGTTGCGGGCACATCCCCAGTAGGGGGTGTGCACGAGGCAGCTGATCCATGTTTCTCTCTCATTGATGTTTCTAACTCTCTATCCCTCTCCCTTCCTCTCTGTAAAAAATCAATAAAATATATTTTTTTAAAAAAGAAAAAGAATGGTGGTTACCAGAGGGCAAGTGGGTTTGGGGGTGGATGGAGAGGGTAAAGAGAGGTCAAATTCATGGTGACAGAAGGAGACTAGACTTCAGGGGGTGAGGACACAATAGAGTATGCAGATGTCATAAAGTTGTACACGTGAAATTTATATAATGTTATTAGCTAATGTAACCCCATTACATTTAATTTAAAAAGTCCCATTTCTGCTCAGATTTAGACATTTCTAGGATTGGATGCTGTTTATTTATTTATTTATTTTATTTTTTATTTTTTAAATATATTTTATTGATTTTTTACAGAGAGGAAGGGAGAGGGATAGAGAGTTAGAAACATCGATGGGAGAGAAACATCGATCAGCTGCCTCCTGCACACCTCCCACTGGGGATGTGCCCACAACCAAGGTACATGCCCTTGACCGGAATCGAACCTGGGACCTTTCAGTCCGCAGGCCGACGCTCTATCCACTAAGCCAAACCGGTTAGGGCTGGATGCCGTTTATACTCAATGTGGTAAAACCCATGTAATCCATGTATTGAAGCAAAATTGGCTAAAGGGAAGCCTGGGTCCCCAGAGGAAAGCAGGGTACTTGGGCAGATCTTTATGTAACGGGTTGGCACATGGCAGTTCATGCACAATAGAGCTTGCTCTTCATCACCAAATCATAAGATGCAAATCTGTTCAGCCAGCTTCTTAGCTTACTCTTTGCAAAATATGTGTATCTTGCCCTGACTGGGATTTTACATCAACGAGTAGTGTCTGAGTTCTTGTCATCCAAACTGTCAGAACAGTACCGGTTCTATTGGAAATAAGACAGTGATGAGTCAGTATCATGCATTCGTACAACAGAAGTTTGATTAGAAGGTACTTATGTCAGGTCCGCTTCCTGACGACCATGTAAGTTCAGCCTTGGGGTGACGATGAAATGAGTGGTAAGATTATGACCGAGGTACACACAGGCTCCTGTGGAAACAGTGTAGAGCAGTGATGGCGAACCTATGACACGCGTGTCAGAGGTGACACACGAACTCATTTTTTTGGTTGATTTTCCTTCGTTAAATGGCATTTAAATATATAAAATAAATATCAAAAATATAAGTCTTTGTTTGACTATGGTTGCAAATATCAAAAAATTTCTATATGTGACACGGCACCAGAGTTAAGTTAGGGTTTTTCAAAACGCTGACACGCTGAGCTCAAAAGGTTCGCCATCACTGGTGGAGAGGGTTATATAAATAACTCTGATCTCCTGGGGAAAGTGCTGGTTACGGATGAGCTCGGCATGTTTGAGGAAAGGCATTGCAGGTAGCAGGAACGTCATGGTGATGAGACAAATGCAAGCAGCTTAAGGTAATAAAAATACAAAAAAATAATGAGAAGCATAAAGCCCAGGTAAGTGGAAAAACAAGTTATATTCTAAACAGCCATGTTAAAGAGTTTTAATTTCCATAAGCAGACCTTGGAATGCCAAAGAAAGATTTAAAACCAGAATGATGGGATCTGATTTCCATGAAA